AAACCCATATCTTGGGATCTGCTTAACCGATTTCAACCAAATTCGGTGCATTACGTTCTTTTCATATTTCTATATTATAGTGCGAAAATGGGCGAAATCGGACTACAACCACGCCTATTTCCCATATAACAATATTTTCAATTCCATCTGATTCTTTCACTTTCCACTATGCATATCAAGCAACAATGATTATATCAGGGTAAAACTTTGCGTTAATAATACGTTTAAAGTATGCCACCTTGTGACCAAAAATTGTCTTAATCGAACCAAAACTGTTTAAGCCCCTAAGTACTAAATATGTGGACCCCAGTGCCTATAGTTGACTACCGAAAATATCAGCCAATCCACAAAGAAATCTCAAACGAGTATACCATTTGACTTTGCGAGAGTATAAAATGTTCGGTTACATCCGAACTTAGCCCTTCCTTACTTGTTTTATTTTCAATTTGTAAACTTATGAAAACGTTCATGATTCGAGGGGTCTCAGCTTTAACGCTATAATTTTAACCAATTTTCCGCGTCGTGCTCTGAACTCCTCTCACAATTTACTGCAAATAAATTTTTTTCTCATTTCAATCTATTCAATACAAAAAAAAATTGCCTTTTATCTATAGAACGAGATAATTAATATTATTTTATTAATTAAAATAAAACACACATTTCTATGTCGCAGGTTTGCTGCCTGTAATTGTTAAATTGGCTTGCTACAACGGCTAGAGAGAAGAAAAAATAAAAAAAATAAACGAAAACCCGTCAGCAAAATAACAAACGAAGAAAAAACAATTGAAGTGGATCAGCCAAAGTGGAGTCAAGGTTTTTGCAAATGACTGTAATTTTTTAAAATTACTATTTATTTACCGTTTTTTATATATTTTTTGAAGTAAGTAGTAAGAGTAAATAAATTATGTAAACAAATGCGGATGTGTGTAGATGTGCATATGCCTGTGTATGTACAATGTACATATATATTATTAATTTCATGAAAAAATTCAGGAAATTCGAAAAGGTGTTTTAAAGCTATATTTGTTCGGGGGAATAACCCAACACAAACAGCAGAGAGTCTGCAAACGAGAAATACAATTTATGACAATACATACATACACATAAATAGCCTGTATTTACAAACACACACACACACTAATGGGCGATAGCATTGATTTCAACAGGGTTCTTGGAAGTAATAAATGTATATTTAACTTACTGTTAGTTGCTGGTTTCGCTAATAATTAACAGCAGGTTGGCACGTTTAAAAACGAACAAACCAACAACAAATATACGCCAAGGTGAAATGCGCAAACCAAAGACGTAATCAAAATTGTGCACAAATACATTGAAATGCGAATGCAAAACATTTAAGCGATTCTTGCAATCCAATTGAAATCTACCACACATAAGCTTACACATATTAAAGATGTGCTCATGCATTAAGTCTGCTAGATACTCGTGGATATCTGTGTGTGTGCATGTTAATAAAACAAAAAGATTGTATCGGCTGTCATGTAATTAACGCCAGCAAGCGATGCCACCGTTTGCATACAAACAAATGTATTTATTTAAATTTAAAACAATTTTGTAGCGACTATTGTTCACAACATGTTCTTCGCCTCACGTTTCCACATAAATAAGTAGTTAGGCACAACGGCGTGAAAACTAGGCGCTTGGAGTATATTCGAAAGTTTTTAATATAAAGCTTAACTTACACTAACCGACAATATGCATTCATTTCATAAATTCTCCAAATGTGTCGATTTTTATATATTTTTTTTACGAGTTGTGAAGGGAGTGCGGTACGTTCTTCATAATATTCACCCGATAGTTTGAATGCTTGAAGCTTCCACTTTTTGGTAATATGCAACAAGTTCAGTTGGAAATGTTTTTCAACCTCGTCGCTCACTGCTTACGAACTTTCGGTCAAAAAGAGCTTCGCTGAATAAGCTGGAAATTTTTTTTGGAGACACTTTACAAAATACTCGGTGGTTTCTACGAAAAATTTTAACGTATGTGGGACTTTGGCTCTCCCGAGTAAATTTGTTCGTTTTAAACTTCATCTAACATAAGCTGCTACAAATATGGTATAATTTATGCGGATCTTTATATGTCATTCAGTCAGTGAGGTCGTCCTATTTAAAGAAATATTTAAAAATTAGTTTCTAACCAATGTAAAATTTGGACCCTCCCTAATATAATTTTAAAACCTAAAACTCATATAACATTATAATATTTAGGAGCAGTGAGCAGCAGAGACAACACGTTATATACTTAAATATAATTTAATAATTTTATTAACTATTTTAGGGTTCAAAACCCGCTCCTTTCGCTCAGTGTTGAATAGATTTCTTTAACGAGCAACTCCAAAAACACTAAGAATTTCACAATTTGAGCAGAAAATATCAAAAATTAATATTACCCAAAGTGCTGACCAAAATAAGCGCTCATATCTAGTACTTGTGAATTTCAATAAATCGGTTTTTTTTACATATGATCTGAGAATATTATCCGAAAATTTTAAATGAATTCGACAAATAGTTTCGTAGATGTATTTTAACTTAATGTAATCGTAAGTCGGTGAGGAAAATTTCTATGAAACGACTAGACCGATGTAGACAGGTATTTGTCAGGTAATGCTCGCAGCAATACGACTTTTCATAATAATTTAGATTTTTAAAGCCACTCTGATATGTACATATTTTTTTATAAAAATCATCAATCGATCATTGCTCTATGTTCATCTATAACAATAATATATTTTTTGGCAAATCTTCCTCACTAAATTTCATTTATTTTTTATATTAATGTATATTTGTTTATTATGTCAAATGTCTCTTAAAAAAATCACAAAAAACGCGTTTTTTCTGACTTGCGCGGATACCTTAATTACCAATAGCATACATATGAGTATGTATATATACCTATTGTAACGGTATTGATTTGTCAAACAACAGTTATATGTCAAAAATCAGCAATTTCGTAAAGTGCGTTAGACATGAAATTACTAACTTATTTATTTAGCGAACAGAAATGCACGAACAATATCTTCGTGGTTCACGAACCTCACTTCACTAATAACGACTTGTGATTTTAATTTAATATAAAAGATTTTGCTTTGCATATGTAACTCTATTATTACTTTTCAAATTATACAATATGCAATTGTCAAGCGGCTAATTGAAATTTAAATAGAAAATCGTGAAGTGGCACGGAGATTTGACGCGCAACAAACTTATAAACTTTAGTACAGCCTCAATGTGTTTACTCACGATATTACAACAAATACGCTTGGCGTCTGTGTTAAAACAAAAAAAAAATAAATAAATTAACACTGATATATAGATGTGTTAAAAGATTTTAACTTGAAATCACAATTTGTTTTCGAAATTATTACGACTTAATTTTTTGTAAAGTGCAAAAGTGGCAGCAATAAGCGACTATTCTGGGCGGTTTGCTGGTCAGTAGCGCAACTAGCTAACGCTTTTGAGTAAAGGCGCAGAGCTGGCGCTTTGAGTTCATTTACGAAAATAAATATAGTCATCAGAATTTATTTTCTGGATTTATTATTCGTCATAAACTATAACTAATGGATTTAAAAATTACATTTACTTACGTAATAGCGAAGATTTTTGACAAAAGCGTTAGTTAAAAGCCAAATATAGTAATTATTTTTATGAAGTTTGTGTACTTTAACTACTACTGTGAAAACACCTGCTCACACCCAAAACTAATTAATATTTACATCCCCTTAATTTATTACTAGCGACGTTGTAATAAAAATAGAAATTTAATAAACTATTAGCCATCGCTAAAATTAATACAGAAATCAACATTTTATATCAGAAAATACTTTCAAATTAAATAAAAGCAACGTGGGACTCTTCGATTTTGGCGAAGGTTTACGTCCACCTACAATAAATTAAGGGTGCTGAAAAATTTACAACAAGCAAGCAGAGAAGTAGTTAGAGCCAAATGCTGGTGAATGCGCGCATAATGCGTATTATAACGGGTGTTTTTTGAGTTATCTGTTTTTCAAAGAGGCAATATTTTTTCGGTGTCGGTCTTTTAGACAACGGTTACTTGATTTTTACTCAGTTTAGTTTGCCATTTTATAATGAACAGACTTACTACAGAACAACATTTAAAAATCATGCAAACTGTTACTACAAAAATGGCTCGGTTCGAGCGTTACGGCGCCCTGCATCCAATATTACGTCGACATAATCGTACAGCAGAGTCGGTAATTCTAGCAAATTGAAGCTAAAACGAGATGGCCACCGGTTCCGATTTTCAAAAGAAAATTTTGACAATGAAGCTCACTTTTGGTTGATAAACAAAATTTTCACATTTGGAGAGATAATAATACACAAGCCATTGTTGAGACGCCGTTATATCCCCAAAAGTCATTGTTTGGTGTTCTCTCTGGGTAGAGAGAATTACTGCTCCATATTTCTTCAAAACTGAAGCAGTCCATAATTTTACACTCAATGACGAACGCTAAAAAGCCATGATTAATGATTTTTTTGTGTCTGCATTGGAGGATGTTGATCTGGACGACCTTTATTAAAAATAAAGAGCTTGTTTATGTTGGATAATTTTTTCTAGGGCAAAAACTGAAGACTCAGAGGACGTCGGTAAAAATCAACTTAGAAATTAGCGGAGAGCCTAATGTTTATGTAGCTGTATTTGTAGCGCTGCTTCAATCTTAGCTTGGTTAAATTTATTATTGAAGCTTGGAATTCCTAATAAAATTAACTGAGTTTTAAATGTTTTGTATAAACAGCAACAAATCAAATTATTTTGTTTATACCATACATATATACACATATATTATTTAAATATTTGTTATCTTATTTAGTATTTTTATAGCTTTAACTTCTTGTTTTGGAAAACATAAAACTCGTTTCTGTTTATACATATATCCTTGAGTGAATGTAAAACTTATTTAATATATTTCTTAAATGTAAATAAATAGATAATTATAATTACGAATATTTCTTTTCTCATTTCAGAACTTCCTAACCAAATGTGGAATGCTAAACAAACAGCGTTAATACTACGCCGTACATACATACATACATACGTACATACATCTATAAACTAATATGCAATGAAAAAGCCAAAGGTGGAGTAATATATGAGTTTGTTTCTTGTGTTTTTAGTGATAATTAAATTTGCGTGTATAAAATTTAAGCAAAAAAGAATTTGCATAAGCAGAAATAAAATAAAAAAGTGAAAAAAATAATTAAACAAATTTTTACAAGCACATTTAACCAAAAAATCTAAAATGTAATGACTTTGAATAAAAGCCGAAAAAAATTAATTAAAATATTGCTATTTTTTTATAAATACAGTGCAGTTCATTATAATAAGTCTCCATAAGTGCTTGCGGTAAACATAAATATTTTTAACAAAAAAGTTAGTGTGACAATTTAAATTATCAATGTCGAAAACCAGCACAAACCGTAGATAACAGTAAAAAATTGCAAAATTATTCAAAAAGAAGAAAACATATGCCAAAAACGTCAAAACAAATAAATCCAAAAATCAAGAAAAACACATATACTTGCTGACCACATTACACCTGCGCACCTCAATATAAGCATACATACACGTACATATACCACACTTCGTATTACGTACATACTGCACAAATATGATGCACATTAATGCCAACGTGAAACTGTAGAAATTGAAGTAAATAAAACGCAATAAAACAACCGAAACTCTCGACTCGCAACGCAAACGTGTCGGAATTTCGATAATGAGGCGTCAGTAAGCCATCGGCCGTAGAGCATACAACGCGCGAACGAGACAATCGTAGAAAATTTCGTTTTTCAATACGAAACCGCAATGCAACGCGCATGCTAGGTGTGTGCATGTGGTGGCTGCGGGCGTCACGTGAAGGGTGTAATTCACCTGTTCGGCATTGATGGTGTCGGTGACGAACGCTCGCCATGCGAGTATGCTTGACATAAGCCAGCTATTAGCGAAGCATTTACCGCTAGGAAAATAAACGACAAATACGCGCTTCGTTGTTATTGAGCGATCACTATTGTTGTTGACAATATTATTGCAGCAGTTTTGCGCTTGCGCTGACAGTTCAACTGCTTGATCACATTGCTTGCCTGCAGTGTCAAGTGACTGTTAAATCTTTTATCGCTTACGTTGGTTCCTGACTGCAGCCGTCTGCTGTATCCATCTGAAGTATTCCTCTTAATTTTCCTAAGCTAAAATATGACCGTGTCATATGCCGGTGAAGTGCCGAATGGCAGTAACTTTGGCTGCTTCTGGCGCATTCTATGGAAGTGAGTATTGAAAATTATATTTCATATGTTTATAACTTATTTATACATATTACAATACTTTATAAATTTAACAAGTAGTAGTAAGTAGGCTAAGTTTGGACGGAGCCAAATATTAGAAGCTCTTGAAGCATAAAAGATAATCCAAAAGATCTTTGTACAATATATAGTGATCTGATCTCAACAATATGTTCTTAGATTGTAGCGATGTCTTAAAAAATAATCTGAGCCATATTTCGTAAAGAAATATTTTCAAACAAAAAGTTTGTATGAAAACTGTATGCTATAGTCGTCTGATATCGGCAGTCCCGACAAAAAAGCAGCTTCTTGGGGAGAAAATGACGTTTGTAAAATTTCAGATGGATATATTATAAACTGAGGGACTAGTTCATTCTATATACAGAATAACAGACAGTACATGGATAAATCGACTCTGCTCGTCACTCTGATCATTTGTATATATACTATATGGAGTCTCCGGCGTTTCTTTCTTGCAAACTTCGTGACAAACTTAATATATTAACATTTCCAGTTTAAAAAAGTGGCATCGAAAATCAGTTATAATTATATGGGCGACATACGTATTATATGAGAAATAGAATACGCTTTGTACCGATTTGAGTAGGGTTTGGCGTTATAATATCTCGTAAATTTATTTACACAGGCATTTACGGGAAAATGGTTCGAGCTAAATTTTAAACTTCAAATATAGTATATTATGTTTTCGACAGCGCAGTCATAGCAGATAACGGTAGTACATTACCATAACACAAGGTCAACACTGGATCTCGGGTGGGGTTGTTACTCTCCTATTATACCATATATTATGGTAGTAAACCAAATGTTGTTGTCTATGTATTTTCATAGAGAAGCGTCCGTCCGACCGTCATGAGCAAGATGATGGTTATATCAATTTGGTCACTAGTAGTGGAATTAATACGAGCAAAACTGAGTTAATTCTAGTTATCAAGAAATTTGGGAATTTGCATTCCTTCAGTGATGGGATAGATATTCATCTCTATCCCGTTCAAAAGATGAAGAAAAGAAACTTATGGGGAAAAAAATTAATTAAAATAGTTTGATTTTCGTAAAAAGGGTATCGAGTAAAGATGAGGGCTATCTTCAAAAAATATGTATATAAACCGTAATTAAATCAATAATAATTTATTGGATTTGGTAATACATGGCATTTAACCCCGAGCAGCCGCTGACACATTGATTTGCTGTCAATGTTTTGTTTGGAAGACTTTTATCAGGCTGAAGCATTTTTCGAAAATAAGTGCTCAATCTTAAGGACTCAATAGGTTGTTTATTTTGCAATATTAATTATTACTAAAATGCTCGTCTTTGAGTAGTCACTATTCCATAAAATTTGTTATCATATACGACCACGTCGCTTGTTAAAATTTATTTGTACCTATATATTACTTCATAACTACTATGACTCATCACAAACGAAACTACAATAGGTGATTTTTTTTTGGGTTTTGTTGACATTTCACAAAAGCAATTGTGTACAAATATTATGGTTTTGTACGTTATATAATCTTACTAAATTTTTGTGTGTCATGTGTATACATATATGGTATATAGATATACAAGTATGTGTATATTTATTTAAGCTCTCATTTCCCGGGAACTTTTAGAAAGAATACGCTTGTAAACAAAAGTGTCATGTGGATGTGTGATTAAAATGTGATGGTAGTGCCCGAGTGGGTTGGCGTGTGACTACACAAGCCATATTGAACTTATAAAAATAGATCAGCCATTATGGGCTAGCAATAAACTCGGCCCAAAACCTGTCAAAGATGTTTGCAGCACAACCATATTAAATTTGTTGCACAAACTTTTTTATGAAGTTAGCTTTGAGTTGTCAGCTGAAGATGTATGCAACAAAGTATGGTTACTAATGATTAATAAAAATTTAAATTTAAATAGTGCAAAAATATTTTTTTCATATAAATACAAAAAAAATTTCAATTCGATTTTTTTTTTGAAAATTTTTCGAATGTTTTTCTTTAAAAATTATATTGTAAATAAAGCTTAAGTATTTATATTTAAGAATTTTGTAATAAAATATATTTCTTACGAAACAACTAAAAAATCGCAAAGAACGTGTTAAAATGTGAGTTATGTAAGTATATACTCGTACAATAATATTATGTGATGTAAATAAATTATAAAATTTTTAATGAAAATATTTTCATTTGCAATCTGGCAGTTTACTCATATTATATACATATATATAGTGAGTATTGTAAAAAATCACATGAAAGAATTTTAATTACTTACTTATAAAACTACAAAGCCATACAACAATGTTGTAACATTGACTAATAGATATTGATGTGAATGGAAAATTTATTCTCTCACAATTTTGCCAGCCAATCAATCACTATTATTTTAGAAAAAATCTAAATTTCGTTCAACATGAATATACGAGTAGCTACAATAGAATTTCTGTATTAAAACGTATGTGTATAAAATTTCAGACAGTGTTATATACTTATATAGAAAATAACTTTTTATTATAACAATATTTTCGCACTTATTTGAAAAACCGTGTAGTATATAAGTAATTTCGCATTCAAACTTATTTCTGTCAATCTTATAAATATATTATTTAATTTTTATATTCTTTCCAATTAAGCTACTTATTACTTTGTGTGAACTTCAATATTGTATCATAACAAGTAAATTATCAGACTGAGAAAATAATCAGATTATGAAATCGAAATTGAGAACCATGAAATATAGCAAGCTCACAGCCACAATTGAATTCGTATTTATGGTTATATATATGAAGTAATGTGTGAAGTTAAAAAATTACACAAAATTATACATTTATCTTTATATATGTAGTCTGTTTGTAGGGTTATTATTCTTGTTAATTGACTCGTTTCAGCAGACACATAAGCAAAGTACGTCTAATTATTTCACTTGAAAGACATACAAGTATATATAATATATATAATTAATAATAATTTTTTATTATTACGAATTACCAACTATGGCCCTTCTACTTCCCTATAATTCACATATGTAAATGCCGTTGTCGACTGAGAGTCGTAGAGTTCAGCGCTAAGATCTCGTCATATTCAGAACTTCTTCTAATTTACTACGTCGAGCTGTGCGCCAGCAGCATGTGGTTGAAGGTACTTCAAAGGGAGAGAGAGAGAGAGAGAGAGAGAGAGAGAGAGAGACTGCCAGCAAACCTAACAATCCACCTTCAATTCAAAATTCTTATGCTTTTGCCAACCTAAATTAATTGCAGAGTCTCGGTTGAAGTACACTTAACCAAAATAAAAGTTTTGACCTAAAACCTTCCCCTGATCTTACGAAGATACAGGCTTCGAAGCTTAAGTGAATAACTCAACGAACGTTCTTTTTTATAAATCGAACTAGTTTAGATATACATATGTTTAGATATACATATGTATATGATATATGTATAATATGGTATAGAGAAAATATGTACGAATGCATAAACTATGGGAAGTGCAAAAATTGCTTGCGAGGTCATTTAGTTGCTGGTGAACTTTTTGAATGACAAACCGCCTAAAAAATAGGTTGGTTAATAAATATTTTATGAAACTAGCAAAAGCTTTCAAATATGTAAATAATGTGAAAAAACAAAATCAATCAAATTACTGGCCGTCAAATTTCAATTCCCTGAATTAAAATTAAAAACAATTTTTATTCGAGTTTTGCGGCTTTATTTCTTATTTGGCGATAAAGCACGTGTCACGAAGCCGAAATGGCAGTCAAGCTGAAAATAACAAAGCCGCTGCCAATAAATGTAATTATGGTACTTACATATATGTATATAAATACATACACATATATGTATATAACGTAAGCTGGTGTGTCAAAGTGGCGCATTATCATCATATACATGCATCTGTATATGTATATAAACAAGTACATGTACTCAGCAGTTTATTATGAAATTTTGTTGTTTTTTACTTGGTCTAATGTCTATGGCTGTATGATGCTAAGAATTCTGTTAATAGCTGGATTCGGGTGACAACTACCGAACAATGTTCTTTCATTTATTTTCAAAACACGTTGGGTTTTTTTATGAAAAGCAATGTTTTAGCCTTTGAAGTTGAAAAATTATTATTTAAAGAGTACTTTTTAGGAAATATAATAAATATATTGAAGCGAGAATCTACAAAAATATTTCACTAAATGCCGGACATTGATTATAATAATTTTTAAATCTTTCGTTATTATTTATTTAGTATGATTTCTGTTTTATTAAAAAATAGGCCTCAGTATCGGCAATTATGTCTCAATCATCGTTTTCATTGATTTGAGACAGCAGATTCAATACTTGATATATATGTATTTTGAAGTTTAAGTTATGTTTTAAATCTGTTTCGCCTCCTTCTTTCTCTGTGCTTGTTGGAGAATTTATGTACGAGCATATATATCATAATATAGTATGATAGAGAGCAACTTTTCCCAAAACAATATATGATCAAGGGCACATCACGTTCACAAAAAACAAAATTTAATATTTTTTAAGTTAGACGCGATCTCCGACCAAAAAAAATGTCTACTGGAAGATATTATCCGTAAAATGACCTAAGGTAAAAAAATCGAATACAAAATATCCTTTCAAAATTCGAATTTTGATCAGATCAAAAAAACTGGTAGGTCAGTGTATAGAGAACTACTTATAAACAGAGCGTGTAGAGCACATTTTATGATCGGAGCATTTGTCTTCGAGTAACCACTGCAGCGAATTCGAAAAATACTGTTTTTAAAAAAACGCGTTTAAAGATAAACTGATTGAACTGAGTGACTACCATTTAGAAGCCTGTAACTCATAAAATAATTGAAACATTCATTTAAATTTTTAGTATGTTATATTTGAAGGTATACACTATTAATATATCCAAGAATACATTTTTTATTTATTTCGAAATTTCACACTATGTCTGCCCCCTAATTTTGGTTTTGCAGAGTTCAAGTTCTTAATAATTTGAATTTACTATTCATATACTTATGAGTTGAATGTATGCACTATATATACAAAAAAAATTTCAACTAACTCGTAATTTAATTTCTTAGTTGCCAGTCTCGTAGTTGAAGTTTTGACAAGCGCTTGTACATACATAAAAGCCGGTATTTACAATTTTTATTTACGCATCTGAATGCAAGCACTTTGCTGTGTTAACTAGTGGTATTTACTCGTTATCTATTAAACATTCTCATTCATCATTCAAGCAGAAAAGAGTTAATAAATACTTTGTTAGACATAAAAAGTGTTTGCAATTTCAATAATATTTGCACGTTGCACAACTACTCGTATTTATGGAAGTTCAGAAACATTTATAATTTTTTTATTTGTTGTAAAACTGCAAATAAATGTCTAAATCTTCTTCTTCCTTAATTAAATACATTTTTATTACTTTTGATCATCTCCAACGAGCATGCATATAATAGAAGGTATGTGTGTGTAAGCGCGCGTGCGTGACTTTCCGAACCAGCCCCTTTGCTTGTTAACTTGTCAAAACATTTGCGCAGAAGCAACGCTGCGAACAGTTTGTGCATTGCATAGGTATAATTTATGACGGCAATTATGAAACATATTTGCATCTTAATTTTCCGACGCATAAATGGCGCGATGAACCTGTTTGAGAATAACAAACGACTGACGGACAAAGTCAAGTGCATGTCAGGCAATGCAGTGCAGTGAAAACAGCAATTATGTAGTGCGAAAAAAATTGAGAAAAAAATGTTTTTGCACCGTTATAATGAATTTCTTTTTATATGCTATTAAAAAAATTAAAAATGTTTGCTACTCTTACAATATAATTAGTATACTGATAATAACATGGCGCTTACACCTTGGCTGCGGCGCTTGAACGTGTTGTGCTCCTCCTAGAAATTTATTTAGCGCTTCAGGTTGTTATCCTATAAATAAATTTTGAATAAATATATACATAAGTGTTTATCTTCTTTGGAAGTAATAATTTACTGTTTGCATTTTGTTTTCATTATACCAAACTGGTTTGGTATAAAAGTATTATAATAGATGCATTTTTTATTAATATTTGTTTATTGATTTATAGTTAAAAAATCATATACTCACGCAGTTTAGCTCTCTGTTCTAATCCAACATGTTTACTATTTTCTTATATTTTCAGATGGCGTGGCAGCGTTTACAAATTGGTGTGGCGTGAATTGATCGCTTACTTATGTCTTTATTATACAATTAATTTAGTCTATAGATTCGTATTAAATGAACAACAACAATTGTAAGTGAACATAATAATTTGTTTATAAATTTAAATACTTAATGTTATTTAGAGAAGAAGTTATTCCGTTGTGTACTGCTATGAGATTAGTCAAAGTTGTAAATCACGACTTAGATTCCACTTATTCCTTACTTATTTATGTGAAAAACGTGCTTATAATATACCGGTATATTAGGGTGGGTAAAAAAACTAATATTTTTTTACGCTTCATACTCTGAAAAATTGGTTAAAAGACACCTCTAAGCACGGCTCTCCAAGTATCAGCTCTTAATTGTAATAGGAAGGTCCAATGCCTAAAAAAATTCATATCTCGCTTCCAAATACTTGAAAATTATTGTTATTTAAATTTTATTAAAAATTTAACCTTCATATAAAAATTTTCGTTTTTGATAATTGATATATATATTTTCAGCGATATATGTATAATAAATAGTTAGATTATTCTCGTTTTTTTTTAATGTATTAAAGCCTATCTGAATGCAATACGTACAAATTAATTTCTCTAATGAAATTTATTCTTAATTATTTCCGCTCTTTTTTAGAATTTTTACCAAAGTCCGCATATATTTCGGCCAACAGGGCGAAAGCATACCCATGTCCTTTGTGCTGGGTTTCTACGTAAATAAGGTTGTGCAACGTTGGTGGGAGCAATATAGATTATTGCCCTGGCCCGACACTTTGGCGCTATTTATCAGCGCCGCCATACCAAACGCCACCGGAGGAGCAACTGTAAGTATTCAAAAGTAGCGATATAGTACATACACAATAATTGCGGAAAATTTCAACTTACAATGTTTACAGAAGAATGAGACGGGTCGCCTTATGCGACGTAACATAATGCGTTATATGGTGCTCGCCTACGTCATCACGCTGCAGCGCATTTCATTGCGTGTGAAGCGTCGCTTTCCCACCACACAACATCTCGTGGATGCTGGTCTCATGCACGAGTCTGAGTCGAAAATATTCGATGCACTTAATGCCAAAAGTCCCATGTCCAAGTACTGGATGCCATTGGTGTGGGCGACAAATATTATAAATCGGGCACGTAAAGAGGGTCTGATAACATCCGATCACATTGTACAAACCATACTGATGGAATTGTCCGATATACGACGACGTCTGGGTGGTCTGATCGGATATGATACGGTGTGCGTGCCGCTGGTGTATACGCAGGTGGGTAGCGTTAATTGCCAGCAATTAAACAATACGAGTACAAGCAACTACCGTTTAATTAAGTAATTGCCTCTTTTATTGCCGACTTATAGGTTGTGACACTGGTGCTGTACACGTATTTCATAGCTGCGCTGGTCGGGCGACAAATGCTGCCGAATATGACCGATACCAAAGATCCAGACTTGTATTTCCCGTTCTTTACAGTATTGCAGGTGAGTGAGAATTATAAAAATTTGTAATTTGTGTTATAAATTTTTGTTTTTAAAAGCTTTCAACTGGAGGTTATGTTTTTTGTTTGAAAAAGATAGTATGAAGACGAAATTTTGAATAGTTGGAAAATAAATTTTCAAAAAGTATTTTATGCATAAAAATTTAGACAAGCTGAAGATTCTAGTTGAGCCCATTTGGTGATACATTGCTTTTTAGAGCGCTGGTAGATCTTTGCTCTTTAAATATAATTAAAATATGAGATTCTGTATTTTCATATACCGTTTCCAAATTTTCTTAATTACCAGTTCGCAGCTCAGGAATATAAATCAGCTTATTGACGTAAATACGTGAATTCTTTAGCATTTGTATTTTGTTATTTCTTTTTGCTTTATAACGTATTAAAATCGTTATAAATATAAGCATTTTGGTTTTTACAATTTACTGTACGTCAGCTTATTTACACTTGTGGCGTCGGTAATGAAATTGAAACTTCCAAAGCTTTGGTTGCATTCGTATGGGTTTATATAACAGTATACGTCAGTAGAACTATTTATAGACAAAAATATTGCGTACATACATGCATGTATGTATAACAAGTACTGTCAAAACTATGAACTGTAATTTAAGCGAGTATTTGGTTTCGATTTCAGTTTCGGTTTTCATATATTATATTCGGTGCCGTCGATATTTTTAACTGATGACTAGTTTAAAACTCGTTGGTCAATAAACTCGAGAAATTAAACACATCCGTTATCATTCCCCAGTATAGAAAATTGGACCAATTGTTTTGTGATCGACAGTTCCAACGGCGCAATCTACATATTCACTGATGGATCAAAGAGCGAAACAAGAACAGAACATGAGCGGGCTTCTGCTGTAGTTATCCATACAAAGAAGGCTGCTTCAAACTAAATGACTAAAATTAAAGCTATCCGTAGCACCAACACTAAGTCTCCTTGCGTAAGATTATGCAAGCAGACAATAACTAGACTTTTAGTATGCAACTCGGTTAATATCATCAAAAATACAAGAAAATGAAAAAGCAAACGAGCTAGGCTTTTTCAAGGGTTATTTGAAGCGATGGATTCATGAGGAACATCTCAGGTCTCAGGGCATACCACAAAGTTACTTTGTAGTAGTGTTGATGGTGGTCAGACTAAAATTATCCTAGTTCTAGGAAAAAGGGCGCTCAGTAACATTGGACACCTACCCATAAGATCCCACCCTCCGAAAATTGCAAAAGTGCAGTCTGCGGAATGTTAGGCATGAGCCTGAACTTAAGAGAGATTTTTTACCAAATCCACTAAATTGCTAATTAAGGCTTAATTTGGTTGCCACCCGGGAGCACAATGGCCGTGCGATCTGGCCTTCATGCGCCTCTCTTTTCAACCAAAGTGAAGTGTTTAAGAACTCTGAGTGTATTTCAACATATGTTTTTTATACCGATTTTCTTGCCTAGAACTGTCAAAGCAGAAGAACTCTTTTTATTGATACGCCCAAATATTGTTAGTGGTAACAATTTTCCACTGTTATAATTCCGTTTTTGTGAGCTGTTGCTATATAAAACACAATATATCAATAAAATTCAGTTTGTGGCATAAAGTTAAATAAAGTAAATTGTATAAAAATTTTCGAAAATTCTAAGCTAATCGTAAGTTTTTAGGCCCTCGAAAGGGTAATTGTATATATTTGTCTTATGAACTTTTTGATGTTTATAATGAACAAAGGTCTTAATACTAAATCACAAAAAATACATATATTTGAATTTATTATATCAAACGATTATCCACAAAAACCGAAGCATCCAATCGAAACAATAACAAATTAGGCTAAATTGCATTAATAAAATAATTGTATGTAAAGGCATTAAAACCTAGGCATGAAAATAACCCACTCAATTATCACTTGAAAAGCGGGGAAATGGCAGCACGTGGTTTACAGAAGTGCACAGCTAAGTGATTATGCCCTTATATAACAAAGTATGTATGTATAGAGTATTTAGTTTACTAATTTCGAGTGGCACTGAAATAAAGCAAACCAATTTATATTTGTGTACATAAATAATACATGAAAACACTTGTAATTAAATAAATGAAATCCATGTACACGAACAATAATAGTGTGCATATATAGTAGATGTGTATGTAGATATATTATAATATACATATGCATATAGACGCGTTAAGAGGGAATGGCAAGTGCCTATTATTGCCATATGCTTTCACTCATTAAAAATTCAATAAATATTTGGCATAATGTTGACATATGACTGCTTACCTATAAATTCACCAACATGCACCAGCATGTATGTATGTATTTACATATTAACAAAATACAAAATAAATGGTGTGGGTAAATCATAAGTGTTTGCTTGTGCAAAAACGTGAAGTTTTTTTCGTAATTTGTGCTAATATTTCTTATACCTCCTCATCACATTAAGTGTTAAAAAAAATTAGGGAAAATTTGTGACAAATGATCTTTTTTAAAAAAAAAAAATAATATTAATTATATGTATTTTGTAAATCCGTAAAAAAGTAAAAATATAGGCATCACCTTTCTTTCCTCTTATTCAATTAATTTTCGTTCAAACTTTTATGACAGATGCTACAAGATTTCAAATTTGGATCAGTATTTTTGAAATAGAAAATAATTATTATTTTTGAAGATCCCATTTTGATCTCATAGAGTAATTGTAATATAAAATTAAACCAAAAATTATATATCATAACTAAATACGGGGAAAAAATAGGTTTTGATATGATAGAAAATCGGACAACTATATATATGACACCTAGACCATCCAACGAATTCAGAAGGTCGGACGACGTTTTTCTTGTCTCATCGAATTTTTAATTGAAATCGATAATTCATGAAATGGGATATATTTTGCGAGTGCGGAATCTATTTGTTTTAAAAATACACGTAAAACTTATTTAATGTTTTTTTGAATGGAAGATATATGTTATACATAGTTGTCCGATTTTTTTTTTTTTCACTGTCTTTATTAACTAGAGAACAGTTCTGCAAAATTACAAGCTCTTAGCTTTTTAATTAAAGGTAGGCAGCCGGAAAGTAAAATAACTGGTTGTATGTGAGATATGTGATTAAGTTGTCCGATCTAGTTGATTCCGGCAAATGATCAATTCTCAAACTGCAACTATGTTTTAAATTACTTTCGAATATTTCAAAAAATGACGAAAAAATTTTTTAATCCCGAAAAAAACTTAAATCAAAAAATCGCTGACTCGAAACCCATATTCTCTTAGGCAAAGATGATCAGAATGATCCGTAGAAAATTTCCCGCATACGCGATTTTTTCGTGTTTTTGGCTCCCTGTAAATCAACCCGCTCTAATGTGTATACTTGTACATATATCCTGTCAGTTATTGCGCTACTCTCTCGGCTGATTACTGAGCAATGTACAACTGGCATATATATGTATATAATATTTAAGTAAAGGGCTCATTTCATACACATATGTATCTTATTACTAAATATAAAATCTGTTTTACCGCTCTTATCTTTACAGTTTGTATTTTATGTTGGCTGGCTTAAAGTCGCTGAAGTCTTAATAAATCCATTCGGTGAAGATGATGATGATATTGAATTGAATTGGCTCATCGACCGACACATAAAAGTGAGTAATTATAGTAATTGATACAAATATTTAAGCTGCAATTCTTCGAAGAAACATATTTATAATATATAAGTTAATATTTATGCACATAAATGTAAATAATAATAAACTTATATAAGTAATAAGTTAATGTATATTATAATATTTTTGCCCTTATAATGAATCGCCTTATGTTTTATGTTAATATTTGTATGTTTACCTATGTTTGGTTCATTGTACTTGTACTTGTATGTTTCTAAAACAATTTTTAAGTTTGTCAAATGATCAAAGCTTAACCTTGTCAAACTGGCAAATTAATTATGATCACTAAGCTATTAATGTGTAGAACTCTCGGTTATACCAAACAAATAACGCAGACATAGAAAAAATTCATCTTTGCGGTTCAAGGAGATTCAAGTAAAAACCATATAATTTTTCTAAGCTCATAATAGAGCCAAATGTAGCTATAAGAAGAAGAAAAATCACAGCTTTAATTGTCAAATATTAATGATGAGAGGTTTTTGATCGGAAAACATGTTTTCGGATGTATGATTATGGGTAGAAGTAATTTCTGGTTTTCAGAATTTACCCTGCAGCGTAATCAACTATTTATCAAATAACAGTTAGCTAGTGTTAACCGCAGTTCAAAGCAGTCAACAAGCCATTTTAAAAGCAGCTGATATCCTAGATATGTTAATTGTCTGCCTATGTTCCATCCATGAAACCGTTATTAAAATTTTTGATCTTTGAGTTATGACATTCTTCAAGCAAAGTATGTATATCCCTTACAAATGTGCATATTCACATAAAAATCACCTGATGTATCTGTGTTATTCATACGCCATCTATTTTTATCAAAGCTATTTTTCTCCGGCTATTATTGGCGAACAGAAAATAATGCGTGAATACAAAATTACACATATTTGTGCCTTTTTTTCTCAAAAAGTAGTGGCGGGCACGTGCAAAAATTATAATGACAACAACAACTGAATAGACGTACATATATTACATCAACTTTTGCCCATGGTGGAGACAAAATAATACACAAAAGCCTTCGGCACGTTTCGCGGTGAACTGGTTTTTGAACCACACCATTGTAAGAGAAATTATTTTTGTACGCGTACATATATAAATATACTTGTATATGCTTACAGATGGCTGTTCGATATAAAAGCACATGTGTCCAAAGTACAATTTTGTGCTTGTATAAGTTTGCAAGAGAAGATTTGCGAAAATCCGAATGACGACAAAAGCGCATGCGCACGTCAATACCTACGATAACAGCAAATTTGTGCAGATATACATACAAACTCATGTGCGATTCTACGCGCAAAGGCACTCTGCAAAGAGGTTAAGAAAAATATCTGATCTACAGAGAGTGCGCACGGCTGCTTAAGTACGACCGCTGACAATGCCTTCCATTTATTTCAAACTGGTTTCCCTTGTAAAATAAAAAGAGAGAAATTAAAATATTAATTCTGATTTCTGCTTTCGTGTTGCATAAAAATTTAAATAGTATATACTTGTATACATACCTATATACGCATATTTACTCGCATATAATAGTAAATCTTGATTTGATTACCTGAGTTAGGGTGTAGATGTGCCCTGGATTGTGTGAACACTCCGTTTACAGTTGTCAACAGTATTACTTAATCGGATATTAATGGTTTTAGAACGATCAGCTGATGTGCTGTGGTCAATTTAATACGCGAAGTCATATCTGATTTCAGCTCTTACGTTATCCCTTTTAGCTGCTATATTTTTTCTTACTTACTTTCAATACCGTTTTAATAGTTAACTTAACGTAGTCACTGTTTATAACTGTGATGACATAACGTTGTTACTTTTTAATTTCTTTGAGTGCTAACTTGATACTTTTCTGACATGACATAATCTGTCTGTCAGTAGTTTTCTCTTAGAGAGTGCACGAAAAATCCCCGATTGTTTAAATTATGTGATCTTGTCAAAAATAAGTCACTATACTATACTTATAGTTTTAGAGGGTGATTTTTTTGAACAAACCAAACTCTTTAATTTTAAATTTCTCAGAGATCTATGGAGAGCTCGTTCCTTAGTGTTTTGCAAGTTTCTATTGAGATATAAAGTTGTGAGCGTAATCACAGTTAACTATAAAATAGCTTCATCTTTTCGTCTACAGAGAAAACAATGATTAAACCGTTAATAGTTTCTAGTTCTATTATAGGCCGCAGTGTTTTTTTTTTACAACTTTGAAGGATATGTTCACTTCGTTTGGCATTTCTGGAGAACATTTTGCTGCTGTAATTGTTTTTATTCCCATCGTAAGCATCCAATGTCTGTCAATTCTTCGGTCAACACAGTAAATCCGTACGGGCCTGACTTCCCACCTATTCCATCTTCCAACACCTTTCGGTTATACGATATCTAAAGAGATGCTCAATTTCTCCAATGAAACGTGACAATATCAAAATACTGCAATTTAAGCAAAAAAAAAACAAAAACGAAATAAATCATCGAAGTTGACAAGAAATAATAAAGTATATATGTACTTGTAATATACAAAACATGTACATACGTAAAAAATATTATATACATACATATATAAATATATAGTACATATGGTAGTTGATATACCTAATCTTAGGCACAGTGGAGTAGAAGTCGTTGATTTCATCACAAAACTCTTCTACACAAATAATAATAAGTGTAATTATTTTCGAAGGAATGCTGACAAGTTATAACGTTTCCGACGAGTACATAATTTTTTTTCGAAAGGCGTAAGATTTGCTTGTTGCCCGATTTCGTCAAGTGTGCGCCCACCCGTCGCTTAAAGAAACGAATGTGCTTGGTTCGTGTTGGTGGTACGCTGCTCAGCCACCAAGTGGCGCACTCTCACTCTTGCTGGCGGTGTGCTTGTCGGCAGTTTTGAGTACTGGACGAGTGTTGTTACATAATAAGTGGGGTAAAAGCATAACATATGGGTTAATGCGCACGCGCTGCGGAATTGAAGTTGTTAACTATACATCAAAATGTACTGTAAGCACCAGTATTCATGTATATATACCCAAGTATATACATACGTATACATACTTACACATATATATACTTACTACTCGTGTTGCATAAATTATGTAGCGCCAAAAGGAAATAAAGCAAATAATTTAATTGAGTGCTTATTTTCACTTTTACTTTAAATTTTATTTGCATTTGCACTTTTTTCTAATTGGCCGCTTGTATTTTGTTTCTATTATTGATGCCCTTTTTAGTAAGTGCACGTTTTTGGCTCGAAAGTGTTTGCTACTTTTACGGCAAGGTGTTCATAGGAAAGTACAGTGGTCCTTGGCTAAATAGTACAGTAGCGGTTTTAAACTTGAAAGCAAAAGAGAGATTTCAGAAAACTCGAGTGCAAATATATATATAAAAAAAAAAATACCAAGCGAAACAAAAATATTCGTTTTTATTTTGACCCACTAGGATATTTCTCCAGTCTCTTTACCCTTCAGTATGTACTATAGGTGGGGTAGTGCTCTTAATTATCTAAAGTGGCACCATTTCAAATATGATTCGGCAACTTGCTTAAACAGATGTTAACAAACAACTACTTATCCTACAAATTACAATAAAAATATTAAAAAAAAAAAATTACTTTTAAGTTTACTTACCCGAAATACTTTCGCAAATTATAGAAATATAGGATATCTAAACACTAGATATATTGAGAGTGGCTTTGTAAATCAGTATCGGTCATTAACTATGACTTCTGATCATTTGATATGAACATTATATATATATATATATTCGGTATATAGTCAACTGCATAAAAATAATATATGATATGTACAAATTTGATTAATTTTGAGTTGAAACCTTAACTATGTCAAGTGAAACATTCTCACCCAATTGAGTATAAAATTAGCGAAAATATTGACATCATTTCTGACCGATCCAATTTTGAAACAGTATCATTATGACAAGCATAATGTTTTACTAAGTTTTATTTCGATTTTCAAATGATTAGTTTATATCTGTTGAGTATACAGATTGTATTATTATTTTTTTCAAGCTTCATTCATAATTCTAAAGAAGGTTTTTGCTTCACCAATACCAGACACAGGGCTAAACATTAAGCAACTTATATTTACGTTCTCCTATAAATATAGAAACGGATTTAAACACATAAATTAACATTTTATGTTAAGTTTTTATCACGAATATAATGACAGGTGAGAGATAAGGAATGGGTCACACAATTTTTTTAAATTTTTTATATTTTTATTCATATACTGAGATACCAACATAAACAACAAATTTGGCACAGGTGGTACGAAGAAACATATTTATATACAAATTCTATAACGCAAAGCTGAGCCTCTGCATATGCATAAAACTTTGTTAAATATGTTCGAAAATAAGTAAATGCTACTATATCTTTGCAAACCATTTCTGAAACCCTACATAAAGGGTGTTTTATAAGACGTGTGGTTTTCAATGACGCAATACTTTTATAGAAGTTGGTCTTTTCGACCGCTGTTACTTAATTTATGCTCAGTTTGGTTTGTCATCTCATAATGAATAGACGTACTGCGGAACAATATTTACAAATCGTGCAAATTTACTATCAAAACGAGATCCCGATTTTCAGAAGAAAATTTTATTTTAGCAATGAAGCTCACTTTTGATTGAATAGGTACAATAATAAACAAACTTGTCGCATTTAAAAGTACTGATAATCCACAAGCCATTGTTGGGATGAGAAGAAATCATTGGTCAGTATTTCTTCAAAAATGAAGCCGGTCATAATTTTACAGTCAATGGCGAACGCTGAAGAGCCATAATTAATGGCTTTGTCTTGCCTGATTGGAGGATGTTGATGTGGACGACCTTTGGTTTAAACAAGACGTTGCCAAATGTCATAAAGCCAATGAAATAATCAATTTATGGAAAGAAATTTTGGTGAGCGCATCGTGAGTCTGTGACGTGGCCCCAAAGTCGTGCGATTGAACACCGCTGGAAAATTTTTGGTAGGGTTATGTGAAGTCGAGACGATTGATGACTTGGCAGGGAATATTCGACGCACTTTACATCCCAATAGTTGCAAAACGTGTTTGAAAATTGCGCCGACGATCACTTGTCCGAAATCATTTTTAAAACATAATTGCAAACCCTTGTCTTTATAATAAAGCTAAGTTCTTGGCTATAACATTAAATTATATGCGTTTTATTTCTTCATGAAAACCATATGTCTGAAAAAAAATTCTTTGCATGATTAAAATAAATTGCATAAAGTTTCAGCTTGAATATATATATAGTTTGAAAATTAAACGGTGTTCAGTATTAATTAGTTTAGTATTACCTTGAAATAATGAAAAATAAATAACTTCTTTTCTGCTGATAAATAGAGTCACCGTTTTGACCGAACTTTCACAATAACATAATTGTCTGAGCAACCGCTAAAATTAAATATACTAAAACGTATAAAAAAAGTCGCTTCAAGAAACGATAACATAGAAATACATACTTACTTAGTTCGTTTAGTTTTTCTACGATACAAAAAATATTGCTTTTGTTTGGGGCTTATCAAATCTTATCAAGATTTTGCATTGATACACTAAAAATAAACATAAATCTAACAATATCAGTGGTATATTGGGTTTTATAGAAAAAAATACTTAAATCAAATTTGGCATAACCTCATAAAGAAACATGATTGTTTGAAATTATCATAAATAAAAACCACTTTTGAGAATTGGCTATAATAATATATACAAATATTTGAGTTTTTCAATACGTTTTCAAAATAGTACGAAACATTGCTCTCAAAATAAGTAAATATGCGACAATTCAACTTTTATTTACTCTAGGCGGCTTACTTGATCGTCGATGAGATGCATGAGGAGCATCCGGAATTGTTGCGAGACCAATATTGGGAATGCGTGGTGCCCAAGGAGTTGCCATATACCGTCGCCTCTGAGCATTATCGACGTGAGGAGCCCAAAGGTTCGGCGGAAAATTATAAAGTGAAGAAAGAGGATGCCATGTATGCAAATATAGTGCCGGGTGGTGGAAAACGTGGACTTGTCGATGATGTTTATGCTGACTATGTATGTTAAACATAGACCTTTGTTTTAAACTTCAATTATAATATTTACCTTATACAGGAGAGCGTTGATACACCAATGGTGGAACGGCGTAAAAATAATAATTGGCTTGTACGGCAACTCTCACGTATGGGTTCTATACGTAGCCAATCGACAGCTTATTCATCGAGTGGTATGGCCTTTAATCGGAATCGTCTCAATTCGGTTTACTCCAGTCCTGAGTCCGGCATACCGGTTAACATATTACAGCAGCAGCAACAAGCTCAGCAACAACAACAAGGTCAAACAGCGCAAATACAATCGAAGCCGAGTTTTTATGGCAAGTTTGTGAATCGCAAGTCGCAACGCGCCCAGAAGCAATTGATTAAACAGAGTAAGTTGGGACATTATAAAGTAAGCATTATAAATACTACTTAAGTATATGGTATAAGATGCCAGAAAAAGTTCATTGACAATATTCAGATCATTCGTAACACCGTTTCTTTTCATATATCACATATATGTTTCATAATTATATTCAATTCAAGTACTAAACTTGTATAACTCCAATGTTGCCTACATTTCGGGGCAGCCAAGACACATACCATACCAAGCATATTAAAAATCCCCATCTTCATCATTTATAGACAATAAGCTAAAAGATATACACCTTTTCTAGCATAATTTCAAACTAACCATTAATACTTTGGAATTTATTGGCTAACCGCTTTCATCTTTTATTTCTTCATTTTTTATCGATAAACTTTTACATAACTTTCTACTTTTTAATCTACACTTTTTCTCCAATAACACACACTCGTACACACTCATTAACAAATATTACAACACTAAACAGACTCAAAGCTGAATGGTCTCAATGTCAATGTACCCAAGACACGACCACGCATACCCACGCCTGACGCTTCCAAAGAGTTGGGCGAAAAAGATTTGAATGGTAAGTTAATTGATTGGACTAATTTTGTTGCAGCACCAATTCAAAATTTGAATGCACCCATAGGCACGAACACCGTTATTATGACACCACAGTTGAGCACTCAAACCACCATGTGTCCCTACACGAGCACCAACAATCAGGATGGACCTGTTTTGGGCACACTATTATTATCGCCCATTAAAGAGATGGATAGCTCATCTTCCAATAATACTTTGATTCCAGGACATCCGACAACTACGGCTTTGGCACAAGCTGTGCTGCCAGCCAATTTGAAGGACATGAACTTTGGCGTTGCCTCGCGTGAGTACTTGCAAATTATTATTGGAAGTTATTTACTCACTCTCTCTCTCTCTCTTTACAACGCAAACTTATGTATATTTTCTATTTACTTTCCACAGCAACTGCGCCCGTCACCACAAATATCACCACACTCTCTTTCCCCTTCACAATGACCACCAGCGCGGCGGACTCAATGCCCGCTGGCACACTGAATATCGTACCAATCGGTGCCTCGCAAATGCCAACTATCACCACCACCGCCAGCGGTTTCGATGCCAGCGATCTCATCACCACAATTCCAGTCTCACTATCCATACAACGCTCGCCATCGATGCGCTCCATCAACGACTTTAGCGGCAATGAAAATTTGGATGTGCCGCATAATTTCAACGGTGGCTATGGTTCGTCCGGTAATGGCAATGGCGGTGGTGGTTTAGTCGCCACCACAAACAATGCCATACTCACTATAAAGCCATTGAATGGCGGTGATAACATTTCACGCAACAATAGTTTTAATGCCAACTTGAATCTAAATCTGCAAGACTCATATATACTAGAGCGCAATGAATCGGTGCGTTCGGCTGAACAACGGGTCGGCAGTAATGTAACGGATGGACACACAGCGGCGACACGTGACACTTCAGTAGAGGGTAGGACAGAGAGTATAGGCGCCAGTGGCGCATCGGCGCCTTCTACTTTGGCAAAGCGTACACCCGAGCCAGCGAAAGGCACGAAGGAAGTGTATGTATAGTGTGAAAAGGCTTTGTTAGAAGGCGTATTAAAGCGACAGCTGCTCTCATTTATAAAATTGTAAATACTGAATTAAAAATTGTTAGCTAATTTTTAATAGTTCAAGTATGGCATGCTACTTAGCTAAATTTCTAGAACTAAAACATTTCCCATCATAATAATATTAATAATTATAATGAATTTTAGACCAAACTATATATATAACTTCTGTACTCGAATAGCATATAACGAAGATCAAATATATTTATAAAATAATATTTTACTAAACACGCCTTTCTATGGCTTTCTTAACGCTGGCGAGATAACGGTGTTTCAAGCATAGATTTCATATAAATCAAAGTTATTAAACGGTCCTTTTTATTATTAGCTCCTCAAAATATAGTGCATTATTTTAAGTTAATAAATGTTATATTTAATTTAATTGTATAGCTTTATGTAATTTTGTGCATGTACATATATATATATATATATTATATACTATGTAAAGTATTAAGTAATAATTTGGTATAAACAGTAAGCTTATTCAAATAATATTTGTAAATAAATTGAATCTCTACAAAAATCTAAAACCGAATGCAACCTTTTGTGATATTTGTCATATATATTTTATATATACATATATATATGTATCTATATGTGCATACATATCCACATCTGTGCCGATGTTAAGAGAATTGTAAACACTTGCTTCTAGTTGTAACATGTATATTTTCAAACTAAAATTGATTTCGAAATTGTTGATCAACTTGGTTGTTACTTATGTATGTATGTTGTAAAAAATTATATATCCATTTTGTTTAAACGACTATATGTATTTTTGCTTGCAGTTGAGCTACATACATATAAGTTTATTTTTTATTTTTTAATTTTTTAATTGTAACTCATTTTATAATAGAAATTCTAAAGTAATAAAAGCGCTGAAAAAGAGCACAGACTTTGTTAATAACCATGAAGAGTGCAATCTTAGGTTTATTTATGTTGGAGAGCTGGCACCGCGAGCGAGTTAGTTTAAGAATGGCAAAAAACTACCAGACTAATTAACAGTGAGCCAGTAGCTCACGCAGGATTAAACTTGCCATTATAAGTAATGTTGAGTTCTGTAAAGTCTATGACCTAAGCATAGTTTTGAGAACGTGTTCCTTCGTAAGTATATTTTCAAAATTTCGACCAAACAGCAGATTCTTAAATATTCCTCCACAGGCAATTTTGCTTGCAAACGGCTTCTTCTAACTTCCATAGCGATTCGATTTCGACGTAAATATTGTCGGTGTCTATATTTTATGTAAAAATATATCTTTTACTAGTAGATTTAGAATTACATGAGTCTTAAGTATAACTACCACTACACTTTTTGTTAGATATACCGCTCATGGTGGGATATTGCAATTTAGAAGACACGGCATTTTAAGGTTCAGCGGTACGGCTCCATCCAGAAATCATGTCAACGCTCCCAATTCATGTGGGGAATAAATTGGTGATATCTCGGGAAGAGCGACCGGGCGGAACTTACGCTGTAGAAGTATAACATATTTTATATGTAAATATAAATTAAATTAAAAATTTACATGTCTTACCAATCTGTGAACCACCACACCTGGCAGTACTATTAGCGTTTGTAAATATCTAACAAACTTGACCTAGTATTGTTTTCATAAATTTCAGCGGTAAGTCACCAAAAATATCATTAACGTGTCTTTTATTATATTTATACTACTTGATTTCTTACGCAACTTTTCCTCGAACACTTTCGCTATCTTTCGGAGGTATTATGTCATCACCGATAATACTGATCCAATACCGATAGTTATTTACCGGCATTTTATGATTTTTCTTTGATAGGAAATACCATAAATACTTCATGGGGACCCAAATTAATAATATTAACTAAATAACAATTAGTGCCAATAAATTTGGCTGGTAATTTATTAAACGGAAGTAAAATACTGATTTGATCATGAATTAATTATTTTATATTTATTATTTATAAAAACTACATAATATAATTATATATATAAATTCAATACTGTCAGCTGAAGGTTATAAACCTTTTAACTTGTTTATTTTGGATTTGTGACTGAAAATTATCATGACTATTACTTATCTAAATGTATCAAACTTTTGTTTTTAGGCAAAGGTCAGTAGAAACAAAAAAATTGTTTTCTTGATAAGTTCAATAATTATCAAAAAGATTATAGATTATTTACAAAACGGGTCTCTGCTGTCTGCTGACACTAATTGTGTAAGCTACATTGAATGTGTACAAACAGCAAATCCCGTAAATCAATTTACAATACAATTTCTGCAACTTATTTGACTGTTTTTTGAGAGAAAAATGTGCTATAAGTTTAAGCACGATTTTGAGTTTTAACAGCAATACTAAGTCAACATAAGGATTCAGCCCGAAAAGTGAAAAAACAATTGATATCTTACCGGTATAACGATATCCTAATTAAAGTCAACTACTCGAACTATTACGTTATAATAGGAGTTGCAAAAATACTGAGTTGTAATAACATCAAAACTCAGACTAAAGTTTTGATTTTAAATGGAGTTCAATAAAAAATAAATGAAACTCGGCTTGATGAAAGCTCAGTTTACCCATAATATAGCTATCTTCGATTTGCCAAGCGTTCGAGAGTAGCCAATCGAACAAACCATACGGGATATTCAAACAAACAGCTTGCACCAGAACCTTGCGCTAGCTTTTTACGATTACGCTTCTTTCTTGGTGTAGAAATTATGTTTTTCGTGTCAATATTTAGTTTTGATTTCTATAAAGTTTTGATTTCTATAAACTATTAGAATTAGTCTTAAGTTTCTAAAATCAAAGAATAAAAAGAAATTTGTATTTTCATTTGTCATTTAAGCCATTCACAATAGTAAAACTGATCTAATATATGCAGAACAAAACTTGGTAGCTTTGAATATACCACTTCTACGACTCCTGTAAAGTATCCGCGTACTTTCTGGCATCAATTCAATTCGATAACTTTGTTGTTGCTTTCACATGTAATGTTTTGACCAAAGAGTAACGCGCAAGGATAGCGATCAGAGAAATGGCGAATCGAAGACAGCTAATAACAAGTTAGCCTTTTCATTCATACGAACTCTGCTACAATCGAGTTTAGAACACTCACAAACCTAAAACATAATTTTAATGCCCTTTATCCTGTTCTGAACTTATATTTTATTTAAACAGTTAAAACAATTCACATAGTGTTTGTTAACTTTTAAGCAGAAATGCCAGTTTCTTGTTCAATCCAGTCCAAGTAGCTAGTAAGGCGGGTAAATGCTGCTGGGTAACCCAAAGAACAACCCTCATTAGAGCTGAATGAAGTCACACCGACTAGTACTTTACTGGATGCCAACACCAATGGACCGCCGGAGTCACCGCTGCAGGTGGAGATACCACCGGTTGTGGCAGTACATATATTGCTTGCTGATATACCTTCATAGGACTTCTTGCACTGGGCATTGGAGATAACAGTCATGGTGGCATATTGCAATTTAGAAGCAGCGCTGGTCGAAGTGTCAGAGGTACGACCCCAGCCGGAAGCGATAACGCTTTCACCGTTATAAGTTGGGTATGATGAAGCAATCTTCGGTAGGGCAACAGGCTGAATAGCGGCCGTGTAGTTAACGGTTGGGATGCGAATGAGTGAAATATCATTTTTAGTAGTTTTTTTAATCCAGCCGGGATAGACAATGATGTCACTCTTGCTGATATTGTAGGAAACAGCTGGACTAGTACGAACTATGGCACCAAGATAAACCTGTACGAAGTTGGCGCTGTTAAGAATAAATAAATCATATGTTTTAATTACAGAGTAGAAGCTGATAACGGTATTTAAAATAGGAACTAACGTCTCAGTGCAATGAGCACCAGTAAGCACCCAGTTTTTGCCAATCAATGAACCGCCACACCAAGACGCACGGCTAGCGGTAGTCAATAGCAAACCAACTTGGTAAGGAAATTGATTTGGGGCAGCGTCTTTTCCATTTGTAATACGTCCATCAAACTTCTCGCTCACCACAGGCACATAAAGCGCGCGCTCATACTCGGCAACAGCCAAAATTAATGCTAAACATATTATGAATTTCATTGTGATACCTAAAGTGTAAAAAAGAACTATGACAATATTTCGAAAATTCGCAGTTTATATAGCAGACCAGGAAACTTATGTCAACTAAAGCGTTTTAGGGTCTTCCGTATGTCATATCAGTTTGTTTGGGCTTGCGGGTCCATAAATCACCATGGTTGTTTGAAAAATGGCATAAACATATTTTAAACAGCATTATATTTGCTACCAATTGATTGAATAAAATACATTTATCAAGCTAACCTTCGCTGTCATGACTGCTAACTTCAATTTTCATAGTAGAATTGCTTTTGGTTTAAACAAACTAAAATAATCATATATAATTTTGACCTAATGGTAGGAAGAGCAATTGAGATCCCTTGTCTCGTCAACAGTAACGATGCGTTTGATGAGTGTAGCGCTCTCAGCTACGTTGGCAAACATCTCTTTTGCGAACTCTACTCGACGCACACATTTACCAAATATTCAGGTCTTTTGGTACGAGTCTAGCATTGACACGCTTCACACAAAATATTGGACAAAATGTGTTGAGTCGATCCATAAGAGATGAGGATATACTCTGCTAGCTTTTTGATGTAATTACGATGATTTTCAAGCACTGTATCATAATAATTATATGATTTGTTCCACCGAAAATGTGATGTCTTACGTCAGTTGGTTGATGCGAGTATAGTTACTTTTTTCTCAACTTTACTTTTATTCACCTTGAATTCGATTTATGGGTTTGTAATCTAATCACTTTTAACCAAAACAGTAACAGTTATCAACATTACATAAACGTACAGAGATTAAAGCGTAGTTTAAAAATTAAACAAAAAAAAATTGCGAGGTAAGAGTTGTTTTTGGATTAGTTGAGTTTTTATTGATTTCATACATGATTTTATAATTTTGGTAGGAAGTATATGGGCAAGTACCCCAAGCGAACTTTCAAATTTTTTCCATTGAATATGCTGAGTAATAATACCACAAGATATGGGTAAACGTTCAAACTGTTAGGAAATTTAGTCATGCTCAGCTCATGCTCATGTCAGCTGTTTTAACCTTGCTAATACGTTCATTAGGTAGGGCAGGTACCAGTAATACAAAGTACGTTAGCGGTCAAGACTTCACATACATATGTATATTTGGATCAGCCAATAAACGTGACATAATCTTAGTCATGGGATTTGTTCGTATACTTGTGTCCGATATCATCAAATGCGAAAGTTACTTACAAAATATTTAGCATCTTAAGATTTAGCTACCGATAATAAGATTGGTTAGTTTAATGCAGACGACACTCAAAACAAGAAAAAAAGCTAGGGAATAATTTCCCGACAAGGTTACAATAAATATATTTTAAAACAAGAAAAAACGTTAAACCAAAACTATAATTAAATATACAATAATTAGTGGTCCGGCTTGAAAAATTTGTTCGGAGGTTATAGCGTATCCTTGGACAATAATTTATGCCAATATTCGTGAAGACATTTTGGCAAATAAAAAAGTTTTTCATAAAAGAGCGTGATTGTGATCGTTCAGTTTGTATGCTATGGTGGTCCGATATAGTTCGCGTATATATAGACAGATAGACGAAAATGACTGAATCGACTCAAGTCGTCACCCTGATAATTTATATACATACTTTAAAGGGTCTCCGAGGTTGCCTTAGTGGCAAAATTTAAAAACCCCTATGGGCGGTATAAATTTATTATTTTAGACATTTAAAGGAAGTTTTATGAACTCGATTAGTATGCACGTGTCCGCTCTAAATCTGATATTTCAAGCTATAGGTTTACAAAAACCAGCGGTTATATTTTTTACCGTTAGCATTAGTTATGATATCAATATCAATATAATTTGCCATATAAGTAAATGCCTAAAAGTAGGCTCCAAAAACGAATGAAATGTATTTATAAAGTAATTTAAATAAATTCATTGATTATGTGTACATGTAGGAAAGTATTTATTTATGTTACTTTCTATTTTTTGATAATTGTTAATTATGCATATATACTTCAACAAAATTGCCAACTTTAGCAATAAGCAATTGGGTTGAGCGAGTGACTACTATAGGAGTCCAAATTAGGTAAATTCATTATTAAAGAGATGAGGATTCAGAAAAAATGTAGTATTAGAAAGCAGCGCAAGTGTAGACATGTGGGTTAGTAAGAACACATATTTACTATCGAAAACGCAAATTTAATGAATCAATTTTAATATAATCACATATGATACACAAACAAAATACAAGTATTTTTCCATATTAATACCTTATAGTACTTTAGTATTCAACGCCAGTGTTCTTCTTAATCCAATCCAAATAGCTGGTAATACGGGTGAAGGCAGCTAGGTAATCCAATTCGCAGCCGGCCTCGGAACCAAATGAAGTTAAACTAACTTGAATCTTAGACGATTTCAAAGCCAATGAGCCACTAAAATCACCACTGCAGTTGGCATCACCGTTAGGTTTACTAACACAAACATTTGAAGCTTTCACTGATTAAGTGCCATAGATTCTAGAGCAGACTGTATAAGGAACAATTTCTAAGGTGGCAAAAATCAAATTGTTGGTGACACAGGTGCTGGAGTCAGAAGTAAATCCCCAATCGGAGGCAATAACGCGATCACCACTGTATGATGAGTAGATACTAGCGATGCCAGGTAATTTGACTGGACTGATTTTGCTGGTGACAGAGGTAGCTGGTATGCGGTTAAGTGAGATATTATTAACCATTCCAGCTGGAGTGAACGGTGATCATATTTTTAGTAACGTTGTAAAATATTACCTACATCTTTATTGTACACCGAAAAGGAGTATTATAGCTTCGATTCAAACGAAGTTAACGTTTAAGATTTTGACATCTACGAATGTTTTTCAAATACGTGTAAGACTCACCACTGTGCTGATAAGGGAACGTATTTGAGTTCTTCAAATTTTGAAGGCACATACTTGCTTATCAAACATACAAATTCAAGTGTTTCACCACTTATTGATAATTTTTGGTAAAATTAATTATATAACTAAGCAAGGGGTTTTGAGTTGGCGTATGGCACAATTTATCAAAAATTTTATAATCTAACTCATTCATAATACTGTTAGCGAAAGATTTATACTGTCTGCATTGCTCATAATCTTATTTGGAATCAAACACAGATATCTGAAAGTCTGAACCGCTTATTGTTGATATGCCTTCGACTAAACCAAACAAAATACCAAAGATGTCAATGAAATCAAATGATGTTTCGATCTTTTTTAGTAGATTATATTAGTCTAATATGGTGAATATATATCCTTTTTACAACTTAACTAATAAAGAGAAGAGAGAAAAGGAAAGAAAAGAAGATAAAAGAGAAGAGAAGATAAGATAAAAGAGAAGAGAAGAGAAGAGAAAGAAGAGAGAGAAAAAGAGAAGAGAAGAGAAGAGAAGAGAGAGAAGGAGAAGAGAAGAGAAGAGAAGGAGAAGAGAAGAGAAGAGAAGAGAAGAGAAGAGAAGAGAAGAGAAGAGAAGAGAAGAGAAGAGAAGAGAAGAGAAGAGAAGAGAAGAGAAGAGAAGAGAAGAGAAGAGAAGAGAAGAGAAGAGAAGAGAAGAGAAGAGAAGAGAAGAGAAGAGAAGAGAAGAGAAGAGAAGAGAAGAGAAGAGAAGAGAAGAGAAGAGAAGAGAAGAGAAGAGCTTTTCGAAACATTATAGCTTTGTGGGTATATGCCAACATCTATATACTAGGGATTAGAAAACCAGCAAGGAGGTATCACAAAATTTATAAGTAATAAAATGTATGTTCCTAGTCATGATTATGGTTCTGCGACCCTATTTTCTATAGTATATAAACCCCACACTCAGGCTCAGGAAAAGTGGCCTATTTGTTGGTCCCTCAATACCCCGATTCACGAAAAACACAGATTTTTATTCGGGCACAACATATACAAAACCAATCTTATATCTAGACCAAGAAAACCACTGTAGACCAGTGTTACATATTATGTACGGTAAGAACGTGTTATATAATATATGATTTATGTTACGACGTCCAATACTCGCATACGTCAATCAGTGATTTGAAAGTTTTCATTGATAATAATGGCGAGTAGAGAAATTAAAAATTATACATTCAAATAATATAAACACAAAATAGTTTGCTATCTTATGAAAGAAAAAATAGCTTCTTAAATATTGCCATATAATCAGAGATTTATAAGTCAATGGGTTTATTGCTATAATTTATAAGGAAAGCGTACGCTATCAAAATCAAGCATACACTCCTACTAAATCCCCTAACTTATTCAAAATTTAAAACCGGCTTTCAATACTCCTATAAAAAGGGGAACATTAACTGTGAAATTATCAGTAACTATTCAGAGTCACAACATGAAGTTCCTAGTAGTTTTCACTTTGCTCTTGGCTTCTGCCTACGCTTCACCAGTACTCTTCCAACGTCAATTGGAAGTTCCAGTTTTGGCTGATGACCTAGAAGGACGCATTACCAATGGTCAAACCGCTTCTCCTGGCCAGTTCCCGTACCAAGTTGGAATTTCATTGAAATTGAGCATAATCTCGTCTTCCTGGTGTGGTGGTTCTTTGATTGGCAACCAATGGGTTCTTACCGCTGCTCACTGCACTGATGGGTTCGTTATAAAAACTCATTATTTTTTTCACTTTTAATTATTTGTAATGTCTTTGTAGTGTTCAATCTCTGACTGTCTACTTGGGCGCAACCGTTCGTAGCTCGCCCGAAGTTCAAATTGCCGTACCCAAGAGCAACATTATCATCCACGAAAATTGGAATGCCCGTACTGTGAAGAACGACATTTCCCTCATCAAAATCCCATCTGTTTCCTACTCCAGCAGAATACGACCTGTCAACTTGCCCGCTATCTCAAACTCCTACTCCAACTATGTTGGTACAACAGCTGTTGCCTCCGGTTGGGGACTCATCAGCGATTCAGCATCTAAAGTGACAAATAATTTGCAATACGCTTACGTGCCAGTGGTTGCCAACAGTGTCTGCTCCCGTGTTTATGGCTCTTCGGTTGTGACTTCAACTAACATATGCATTTCAACCGCCGGTGGTATTTCTACTTGCAGAGGTGATTCTGGTGGCCCATTGGTAGACACCTCCTCAAACGTACAGATCGGTTTGACTTCATTCGGTGCTGCCGCCGGCTGCGCTAAGGGTTACCCAGCTGCCTTCACCCGTGTGACCAGCTACGTGGACTGGATTAAGAGCAAAACTGGCATTTCTGCTTAAATTTTGTATTGACAGATTTGATTATGAATTAATTACAGTTGAGAATTTAAATCCCATGTGTTTTTTATTCGAGCATATTCTATGAGATTTATGATTAAAATTGAATAAGTAATCAAGAATAAATCATAGATTCTTCTTTTAAATGTTTAACATGTTTTGATATTACGCAAGAAATATTTTTTAGGTGAGCAGATATCGCTGCAGATGAGATTTTTACGGAGAACAGTGAGGACAATCATATAAGTATAGGCTCAAAGGTTTTTGGAAGTAATTTCGTGCCGAAGACTTCTCCTAACCGCGAAATTATTGTAGTTATTTGTCCATTTTATTTGTTCAGGCCATGCAAGTATTTTGTTTAGAATGTACTCAGACTCATAGAATTAAAATAAAGAAGTATAATACCGAAGTATGATCAAGAATATAACGTTCTGTTATATTATATTCTTCCATCGAGCAACCAATTGATTAAGTTTCAATTAAAATTTAAATGAACAGACGAAAGAAAATCAATTGTCGGTTGTTTTACATGGCATTATGCTATCTGAAAAATACTGCAAAAATATTCGCCGGTATCGATGGGGGACACGAGAAGGCTTATATATGGTGCACAATATTTTATAACGGTGTATAAACATTGAATAGAAAGGGAGGTTTGAGTGCAGCCTCTGACTATAAATAACGGGATGCAATCCTGTGGCAAATTGCCACTCTTCTATAACATTACCATAACCTTCTCGACCAAATTCGAATTTTGTACCCTAATCGGTCACTGTATATGGCACCCCATATTTCCTCGGAAACCGGCGTCCAATTCTATTCCTCTGCAATACCAAACCCTTCAGAGTGTCAAGAAGCACATACACCAACGACACAACATTTACCACATACATACGAATTCTGAAATAATAACATTTGAAAGTATTGAGTACATATCTATAAAAATTGGCAAGCTTATATCATGCACTGATTTGAGACTTGCAGATGATAATAACGCCAAAAAAAAATTGAATATGATATCTGCGATAACACAACATACCATAGTTTGCTATGTTATGATAAGTACAATAAATTCGCAAATATTCCACTATAAACAAAAATTGATAAGTCAATGGGGTTTATGGTCATAATTCATAGGGTTTATATTTAAATGTGTACATGCGCGCATATATCGTACATTCCTTCGTTCGAAATAAATTATCAAAATAAAACCTTTTCGCTGTTAAAGCTCCTGAATTATTTAATATTAACCGTCTTTCAGAATTCCTATACAAAGGGGAACATTAACTGCGAAATTAATAATAGCTCTTCAGAGTCATATCATGAAGTTCCTTGTAGTTTTCACTTTGATCTTGGCTTTAGCCTACGCCTTCATCTGTTTGAAACCTTATACAGTCATACTGTTATCAGGTAAGGACTAGTTCCAAATTGCAATAACATATCGCATATCGCACAGATTGACCGACATTTTCGGTAAAAAGTTCGCTGTAGGGACTGGGGTTCACATATTCAGTAACGGGGTGATTGAAAAGTTGTAATCCGATAAGGACAATTTTTAGTTATAAGGTAACTTATTATAAAAGTTTTATTCCGATACATACATACATTGTTTATTGACTGATATTTGGTGTAACGATTCGCATTAAGGAGTAAGAGAGTAAGTTTCATCTGTGATATAATATTTTTTGGAAAAGCGTGCGTGGCCCTGCCCTCTATGGTAATTAGTTTAATGTACATATCTCTTACACAGCTGACGCAATAATAACCAAATTCGCCCAGGACAAATCTTTTTGCAGCCCTGCAGCAATGGTCACACAAAAAGAGGCACTTTAGCAGCCGATATCAAAATTTTACGACGGGCATGGTACCGCTCTCATTTAGGAAAAAACCCACATATCGGGACCTGCTGGATCGATATCAACCAAATTCAGTGGGTAGCATTATTTCTTTTTATTAAAATTCCTATATCACATTGGGCGAAATCGGATTGCAACCACGCCTACTTCATACATAGCAAAATCTATGCACACAACACTGAATAAGAGAGAAGCACACTTTTAGGCGCAAATGATAGTAAATGTTTGCTCAACGACAGTCTACCAAAACTGACTTTCTTAACTGTATTTAATATTATTAGTGCGACTACCGCTGTAGCTACTACAGGCAGCCAATTGAATTTGTTGTCCGCTGTGGGTCCACATGCGAATCCTGCCAAAACAATCCACGATCACTTATCACTAACGGAGAATCAGCTGGACGTGCAGAATTTCCGTATCAAGCGGGTTTAGTGGGCTATATAACCTTAGAGGGACTTTGGTGTGGCGGATCGATTATCTCGGATTGTTGAGTCGGAAGTTGAATTTAAAAATTTAGTGAAGTAAGATTATATCAATCTTCCCACTTAATAATATAGTATAATATCAGAATTATTTTTCATGGTAAAAATCGCCAGACAAACTATACAAGCCGTAAACAAACAGCTGCCAAATACACATTAACGGACTTATGCAAATCAAACTGCTCACGAACAAAAAAAAACTTGTACCAATCTACGAAAAAATATTTATCGGTACGGTTCAAATTTGATTAGATGCAATTATGATGCCGGCTTAGCGGTTTACTTGAGAGATAACTAACATACCTCTAATCTCCTACAATTACGCTCAAACATTTAAGTGTTTTTAATTGCCTCAAAAAATCAACCCCAGGCTCTTACTGAAAGCTTGATAAAGAGAAACGGTATAAGAGTTGTAAATTTTGCAGTAGACGATATAAGCTACTTAAGCTAAAGGGCACTCTCGCCTCAATTGCATTAAACTGGGAACGAGTCGTAGCTCCGATGTTTCTTGCGTTCTAGCATTAGAAGAGTGCGCTTCGCAAAAGCTGCAAAAGCAGTTGATATCGGTATAAACCAACTCAACAACATTGTGCTAGGCTCAAAACTTCATGAAAGTCTTTACATGCATTCGTAGAAGAAAAGAAGGGGGCTCTACACCCCATCAACCAAACCAAATAATTTACTTTTTATGGGTGAAATGTGAACGGTTATTTCCAGGGAAATAAATTTGGAAAATTGTGATTTGCACAAGAATGACGTCAACGTAATTTCCAGGTTACTCGTATATCGGCACACACGCGTTCGTCAAGTACTGACTATATAAAAAAAAGTAATAATTAATGAAATTTCGAACACTTCCACTATAAATACCTCATTTTTCAACGTACTATTCTATAATACACTAATAGTTATAAACATACTTGACTTCAATAACTTTTAATGAAATACATACTTGTACCTTTAATTAATTGAAGCATTTATAACTTATAAGATTTATGCTGTAACTAACTGATAGAGTTGGATGCATAAATTATTATTTATCTTATCGAGGGCCTTTACAACCGTTGCAAGTACTCGTCGACTTAGCTCTGAAGTATAAAAGCAATCGCGCTAAAAACTTCGCTAGTGTTTCTTTGAATTCAACATACAAGATGAAGTTAGTACTTGCCTTGGCTGTCTGCTTTTTTGGCAGCGTGATCGCTTCTAGCGATAAAGTGGATTGGACTAATGTACCACCATTACATGTGGATCCTAAAATCCCATATCATCCACGCATGAACCTCGATGGACCTACAGGACGTATTACCAATGGTCAAATAGCTGATGAAAAACAATTCCCCTATCAAGCCGGTTTGAGATTGTACATATCCGGTGGCGCTGTTTGGTGTGGTGGCAGTTTGATCTCTGATCGTTGGGTGCTGACCGCTGCGCATTGCACAGATTCTTTGTAAGTAATTGTGCTCCGCCACTGCTCTATCGCTAAATATAATGTTAACACATTCCAAATTTTCTAGGACCACTGGCGTTGATGTGTACTTGGGCGCTTGGGATCGCACAGACGCAACCGAAAAGAACCAACAGATCATTTTCGTTTCTAAAAAGAATGTTATTGTGCACGAGAATTGGGATAGATCCGCAATTATCAATGATATTTCGCTCATTAAATTGCCAGTTCCAATTGAATTCAACGGTTCGTAACACCGCATGAAATTATTACCTAAAACTGACGTTTATATATTTTGAAAATCTTAGATTACATTCAACCAATTGCCTTGCCCAAAAAATCAGCCAGTTACGACACCTACGTCAATCAGCCAGTGATCGCTTCCGGTTGGGGAAAGATTACCGATTGTAAGTTTGGCAAATAGTTAACTCCTTTATATATGCATCGTGAACATATTGTGCAATAATTACAATTCGTAAACTTTTCTATTTTCTTGCAATATGTACAGCTGCTACGGCCGTCACCAATATATTGCGTTGGATTGAAGTGCCAGTTTTGTCGAACACAGTTTGCAACCGTTGGTTCGTTGGTTCCGTTAAGTCCACAAACATTTGCATCAGGACAACTGGCGGTAAGTCAACTTGCAACGGTGATTCGGGTGGTCCATTGGCGTACAATGATGGTGAGAGCACTGTTTTGGTTGGTGCCACTTCCTTTGGTATTGCTTTGGGTTGTGAGATTGGCTGGCCAAGTGTGTTCACTCGCATCACTTCCTACTTGGATTGGATCGAAGAAAAGACCGGTATTGCATATAACTAAATGGAGATACAATAAATTCTTTAATATTATTTATACACCTTAATATTATTTATTATTTATTTTTGATGGTTATTTATATGAAGTTAGCGTAGAATATTTTTTGAGATTTTTTATAATATCCAATTTTATGAACGAACATCTGTAGTAAATTTATAATGGACTAACATCGGTGCTATAAATTAATGCCAGTCTTATTGAACCAGATAGTGGCGAATTGTAAATTACTTTAATTAGGTGTCAAGTTTATTCGACGGTTCAGTATCGAACGCGACAGACAGTCTGCAGGATAAGTAGCATATTTGCGTTCAATATTGCGTTAATATTTGATTGTATTCATACAGGTTTCTATCTGCTTAAGTAATCGAGTCTGGTACGAGTTTTTGAAACGCTTGTTTTGCTAATTTGTGGACTAACCACCTAATAAACTAAACTGAAGTTTTGTCAATGCTTTTGAGCAAAAGAGGACAACAAAAGCCCCAGGCTTAGCCAAGAGAAATGTATTGTTACAAAGCATCGATTGACGCGTTATGACGGAAGTCGATAAAAATCAAGTAGAAACAGTTTACTAAGAAGGAATGCACATTGTCATTTTGGAGAGAGCATACAATTTCAATATTTCTACAATGTTTTATAAGTTTTGAAATAGTGTATTTTTTCAAGCCAGCGGAGCCAAACGAGTTAGAAATCTGTTAGAGATGCTAGAGATATTAAAACAGAAAAATTTATAGTTAATGTTATGGAATATGTGTTATGGAAAACTACTTTATTGGCAGCGAATAAATATCTCACAAAAAAATATATTTTGGATAATTTCTTGGCGGCGGATAAAGCACTCTTTGCCTTGGTGGTCTTAAAGTATACGACGTGCGCCCAACCCTGGATGGGCGTTTCAGGCGTGCTGGTGTAAACTCGGGTATCTGTTCGGTGCTGTAACTCAAATCTTCTTCATCTTCCAACGTTAAGTCCTCCTTTAGATAATGGTCTCTGCATTGCTTTCGCTCATAATCTTTTAAAATTTTCTTGAAAACTATTGCATTCGATGATTCATGCCACAATTCAATGCCGGTCTCATCATTAATCCAGTCTAGATATGAAGCGACTTTCGTAAATGCCGCCGGATAGCCGAGATTACAGCCATGTATACTTCCGAATGATGTGAGGCCGACGAGTATACGTTTTTTGGTATGTTTGCGACGCACAACCAGTGGACCGCCAGAATCGCCGTTGCATGTGGAGCGCGCATACTTGCCGCTCGTACAGATATTCGTACTATGATATGAAAGTGGGAAACTGCGTTTACAGGTCCAACCATCGATTATGCGCAGCCTCACATAACGTAGTACGTTACTAATAGCATGCGCACCCATCGCGTAGCGTCCCCAGCCGGAAGCGATGGCTAATTTATTTTCAAAGTCCTGGTACTCATAACTACGACGCGGCAACGGAATCGGCTGTATGCGGTCTGCAAAACGTATAGGGAACATTAGTAAGTATAGATCTTTGAGGATCAGATAAAAGGACGGGATAGATGAGTGAATAAAATATGTTACTGAACGGTTCTGTTCTTTTAGGGTTATGAATATTGCAAACTTTAAAATCACATCGTTATATCGTTACAACCTATCGAGACACCTTAGATTTGTAGGTTCCTAGTTGCGGCTCATACATCTGGCTTCAAAAATCTTTGTGTAATAATTTGTGTTTGAAAGATGTTATTTAATTTTATGTTTAAACTTGCGATATGGAGCAACGGCTCGATTCAAACTCTTGGGCGATTATAGGTTATGAAGGAGAGAGGAGGGGAGATAAGGAACAAGGTGGTGCGCTCTTACAATGTTTTTCAGATTTTTTGCTCAAACAATACACTACAATCATCCGCGAGTTTTCTCTACGGCACCTGTTGTAGGATGACATAAAAGAACAAACAGGAATCGCCTTGCAGATAAGCGATTAATTTTATGAAAAAAGAAGACAAAACTTCAACTTTCTTCACAAAGGTAGCTGTACATAACAGTCTAAGTGTGCTCCCCCGCCAAGCTAACGAACCAGCCATCTAACCTAACCGATTTTAAGACAAAGGCGTCAAGTAGTTTCGGAGCCTACTTAATTCAAACAGACAAACAATCAAATCTTTCCAGCTTATAATATTAGTGTAGAAATATAGCTGTTATCATCAACCGTAAAACGGGATTTTCTAGTCGCAAATATTTACCATTAAATGCGATAGGCACTGGCAAACGCACCAAAGCGATGTCATCTTTGAGACGTCGCGGATTCCACGTTGGATATATGATGAAACTATTACGCTTAACCATAATACGCACTTGACCAATTTCGTCGGCGTTTTTAATCTCATGCGCACCTAGAAACACTAAAGCACGCTTGGCCCTTCGATGGCAATATTAAAAGTAAAAGATTGAATTATTTATGTACCTTCATCACTATGTAAATACTATATCTAAGTTTGGACATACATATCCACGCAATGGGCCGCAGTCAAAACATATTCATCCGAAATCAATGCACCACCGCACCAGTATAGTCCCTTGGGTCGCTGCAGCAACAAACCGACTTGATATGGAAAACTGTGACGTTGTGCCACACTACCGCCAAAAATACGATCCATCGCTGGCGTGCGATGCAACCGCATATCGTCCTCTGCATCTGTGTCTGCTTCTAAACTTAAAACCGTCGGCTCATTAGAATAAACATCGGACGGCTCGTACATGGATAGCAGATACATTGGTTTCACTTGCCGCCAGCTAGTGGCGTTGTAGCGCTCCAATAAGCTCGTTAGCAGCAGCAGTTGCAGTATTGGCACTTTGTTGGTGTGTGAAATCATCACTTATTTTATAATTTCCGCTTTTATTGTTTACTTAAATGCTCAGTTTATTGTTGTTATGACTTTTTTTTTGCGCTATGAAGCGAAAGGTTTTCACACTGTAACCTTTATTAGACTTGCTTTCTTTTTGCTTATAACGCTATTACAACACTTTTTGTTGTTATAGCGCTTTACTTCACTGCATTTCATAAAAAACAAAAAAAAAATCGAAATAGTATAATTGAATTTGAACTTCGCTAGGTACAGCGTTAGTAGGTTTTATTTGCCACTTGCCACACTTGACTTGCACTTGCAAATGTGCGCATGCGTGTGGTTATGTATGTTTGTATTTTTACACAATTCGCGCAGCTAAAATCGCCAGTTATATGTTTCAACTACGAACCGTTACATTGCACATGCGCATTTCGACTGAGCACCGTTTGCTCGATGTCAGTTATTTTTATAAACTACAAATTTTCTCACTAGTATATAAATTAAGTTATCATAATATGATACGCCTTGCCTGCAACAGCCCTTAACATAAACAATCTCTTTCGAGCATTTATTCGCGTTATACTTGCTAAATTTCATGCCACACTCATTGCTGCACCACAGATCCACAAACATATCGAATGAGAGTAAGTTTTCCATTTGATGAATGAATGAATTGCCGTTGAAAGGTGGCTGTGCTGAAGCTCGGTGTCAAGCCGCTGCTTGAGTTGTTGAAAATTGCGTCACTAGGTCTGCGGTGCCTCAATATTGCCACAAATAAATACAAGATAGATAAATTTGTACAAAATAACTTATTAGTAAACAAGTTACTAGTTTAATTTGCTGCCTCATTGCCTTTTTCCAGCATCACAGTTGGAATTCCTACAACTTTGTATTGAGTAATTATGGCGCGGTGTAACAAAAATGTAATGGATTACTAACATAGTGCAACCGGGAGCAGGCTTTTGCCGCTAAGCATACGTGTGCGCATGCACACCTATTAAGATATTTGTAAATTTTACCAAAATTATTATTTTTCAAGATGTTTGCTGTACATGAACTTAAAAATTCACTAATTGAATATATTACCTTCATTTACAAAAGCGACTTTATTGCCTTATAATCGACTGGCAAGTGACGTACTACATATACATATACATATATATATGTGTATATGTACAACAACAATTGCTTTAATGCTCAATATGTTACATTTGCCTTTAGGTTTCCTGTTGTCTTCGAAGTTATCTGCATATCATTTACAAATGTACTGCAAACTTACATACAAACCTACCCACCATACATATATACATACATGCATACATATGTATATACATATATACTAGTTAGTGTTTTGCGTGTAGGAAATCTTAACATGCATCAATAAGTTCAAATTTTTGAATGCCAATCCATATTCAAGCCATTTCGTGGCAAAAAGGCGGAGTAATTTAGTGCTTGTCAAGACGCCACGGTAAATCCCAAGCAGTGTAATTTGGGGCAAATAGTATATACATATGTACATATACATACATGTGTAAGTATACAAAAGCTTAAAATCCAATGGTTTTGTAGAAACCTTCACAAGTTTCCTGAATCGTAAGCTATGCCAAAGTACTTTACTAAGTATGTACATATATGTATGTATACTATGTGTATGTATGCTTATGTGTGGGTGGGAATTTGCATTGTTCACTATATAATGACAAAAATTTCGAACCGTTTACGAATAAAAACTATGTGAAAATAAATTTTTTAAGCAATTTTCACTTCCTAACTGCCACAATATGTTGCACACTAACATTAGTTTGTAGCACATTGGTAATAGTCAAGAAACATATGCATCAGATAGCCATAATTTCTATACAAATTGTTTTCGCGATTTATAGCTGTCCGTCTGTTGGAGCAACGGATAATTTCGCACTTAGCCTTTACTTCTTGATTTATCTTTATTATTTGGAAACGTCATATGTGTATAAACCCTGAACAAAGTTAATATAATAATATATCACCCAAAAGTAAAAGTCAGCGACCCTATGAAATGCATATTATGTACATATATAAATGATCAGCGTGACGAGCTGAGTCGATTTAGCCATGTCCGTCCATCGCTACTATACGCAAGCTAGTCCCTAAGTTTTTGAGATACGGATCTGAAATTTTGCACACGATATTCGACCACTTAGGATATACAATACCTACTGGATATATACAAACTGAACGACCAAAAGCAAGTTTTTGCATGCAAAACTTTTTTATTTGACAAGATATAGTCACAAAATTTGGCACGCATTATTGCTATAAACAGCGGTACAATCTCTAAAGAAATTGTTGAGATCAGACCAATGTTGTTGTTGTTGTAGCGGTTATCTAATCCTCGCTTGGATGTAAAGGTTCAGGTTTATTGTCATCGTAGTCATCTAACGGTAGGCCCAGGAAACGTACTGTTTCGACGCGGTCGGACCATAGGAAAAAGGTTGTTAAATGTGTGGGATTCGTTCGGTATGCAAAGATTTGGTTAGTGTCATGCGGAGATTTATTGCACGCTCGACATATTTTTGGTATGATGAGGTAGATTCTGGATAAGTAGGAGTTTAACCTGCTACAGTACCCAGATCGAAGTTGCTCAAGATTCACTCTAGATTATCGTGGCAACTCGAGCTCCTCGTCTACAATGGGTGGTGATTTGACTACAAGTAGGCCATTCACTGAGTGAGAGTCGGTGAAGATGTTGATGGCTTCACTGTGAATGGCGAGCAGTCTGAAGTCTATTGCGTCTGACGTCTGGTCGGCGCACTGTTCAATGTCGTCGACGTAGTCGAGGAAGCACCTCTTTATGTTCTGTGGCAGCGATTCCGCTTCAAGCTGACAACTGCTGGAGTGGTTTCTGCGAAAACATCCTAGCAGAAACTGGATATTGTGGTTGAGAGTGTTAAGCTCCTTGCAGAGAAGAAGCGAAAAAGGTCGGAGAGATAGCCGTTTACTTTTGCGCACTTGCCATCGATTCCATTGCCTGACGTCAATATTCGGCAAACATCAGCGTACAAGGTGATGGAGATTCCTCTGGTGATTGGAAATTAAGCAATAACGGGGAGAGGACACCACCCTGCGGAACTTATTTTTAATTCGTCTTAGTTTAGATTTTTGACCTCGAAACAGTACGGATGATTGTCGACCGCTCAGGTAGTTCATAGTCTGCCGCTTCAACCCTGGTGGGAGCGTGGATTGTTCGTTGTCCTCAATTAGTGTTGTGTGCTTGACTGCGTCAAAACCTTTTGACGAGTCGAACGCTACGGAATGAACCACTATATAATATAGCTGTCATACAACCTGAATGATCAGAGTCAACTTCTTATAAGAAAAACTTCTATATTTGACAAGATACCTTCATGAAATTTAATATGTTTTATAGTCCAAGACGTTGCAATATTTTTCGAAAATTGTTCAGATCGGACTACTATAACAGGAAGCTGCTATACAAATTGAACGATCAAAATCAAGTTTTTGTATGGAAAACTATTATGTTTGAAAATATATCCTCATCGAAATTTCGCATGAATTATCAAAATCATACTTTTTTATTTGTGACATTAACATTTTTTTGTTTTTTGTTTTAACTAAAACTGAGTTAAATATTTCATTGTAGTCGAAGTTATCTGAAAGATTTTGCATTACGTATACATAGTAAATTCAAATTAAAACGTGCTCTTGCTATCATCAAATGCTACACTTATACATGCCATTCCCACAAAGTTTTTGAAATTATCGTTTTCCTATTGATTGTTTATATAAAAAATATCAAAACCATGAAGTTATAATATATTTGTAATGAATTCTATTAAATTAGCACTTCTTTGCACTTGTAAAATACACTGTTCATCAAGTAATCAAAACTGTTTATATAAAATAACTTAGAATAAATTACGTTACGAACTATTTTAATGCTAGTAGTAGTTGACGTTTGTAAAATTGTATGCTCCTGCACAAATAGATATAATAAGACACAAATTCAAACATTATATTAAATTCATCAGCAATATTATTATGCAAACACACCCAAATAATACGTACAATCAACATCTTAAATCTTAAGTGAGGAGAGTTGGTTAAAAATAAATGAATTTTGATTAATTATGAATGCGCATAGGTTTTATAGAATTAAAATTTCACAAAAATTAAATATTATATATGAAACATGTAGTTCACACAAAAACCAAAATTGGCTGTGATTTTTCATTAACACCCACAATAAAACTAGGTACTCTCAAAATGTAGTATGATATATCTAATATATAACTAATGTATAACTTCAAAACAATTAGGATTCACCTATGCAGAACTCAAACTAGCATCCGCTGTATCTGAAGAATATGACAGAGTTCCACAATTATTTGGCACAAGATATAACGAACCTTTCTCAACCTTTTGTATGCTATACTCATTTGCATCCACCAAATCCGTTTCTAATTGCATTGCGAAATCAGTCTTTGTTGGTGTTGTTTCTGCAGACAGCGAAGAATCTATCGCTACAGCGCACATTTCTGCCTCCATTGATTCATCCTGTGGATTAGTGTCGTCAGTCTCTAGATCGGCATCTTCTACGTCCGCTTCGTCGCCGTAACTTTTATTCAAACGATCAATGAAATCATGTAATGAAATCTTTTTGCAAGCACTTCGGCGACCAAAGGCTTTCTTAATTTTAGCACGTCGCTGTTTTATTAAAGTTTTATTAGTGTTTAAACCATCTGAACAGGATAGTGAACGCCGTATTTTACGCAAACCAATTAAACGTAATGCACTATTGCAGGCTGCAACTGCATCATTGCCGCGACGCTGCTCAGGCTGTGGATCTTCAAAGATTGTCTCCAAGCAAGTAGGTCGGAAACTTTTCAGCTTTTTATTGCAGTAAATTTTACGTATATCAGCTGGACGGAGCATAGAGAAATCACATGTCATTGAGGAGCTGTGGCGTTTTGGTTTCACAATCGAACGTCGTTTTACTTTTAAGCTATTTTCTTTGCAAGCACGACGCGGTAAATTGCGGCGCTGTGAAAGACTGCCACCGCCTTTGCTAGCGCTACTGCTGCTATCTGCATCATCATCACCAAATAAATTGGTTTCGCCGGAACTATTTAAATCTGATTCTATGTCACTTTCTGCAGTGTTATCGTTTTTCTTACACTCGCCGTTTGTATCTACTGCTTCAGACATCTCTTGCAACTGAGCGGCCATGTTTCCCAAACTGCAAATGAAAAACCGATTTCTATCAAGCTTTCTGTAATATATTTTAGTTTACTTACCGACTTTCAACCAAAATATCTTCACAATTTTGTTGAAAATTTATTTTCGCTATACCAGAAAGAATACGTTCCATAATTTGTTAAAAACTCATAGGTATATTTCTGTTTACTACTCGAATTGAAATGTCAAACAAATTCGTTAAACTGTTTTGACATACAGTCAATAGTTTGAAGTGCACTGTAGGCAAGCCTGAAGGTTGCCAGATGGTATATAAGTTTATACTATATTTGGAACTACCTAAGAGTAGGCAATATAAATGTGTACACGATTTTAGTTCTTTTATATATTTTTAATTTTATATCACCATTTCACCCTACTTAAAGGAGAAAATCTCTGAAAGGTTATAAAAAATTATGCAGGTCAACCAGAGAACATTTTTTCCTTTACATTCTCTGTCAACATCAAACCAAACAAAGGTCAAAGGAGACATCGGCATATTACAGTCGAACCCGAAAATATTAGTTCAGTTGAACAAGTAATAAATATATGATACATAGAGAAGCGACTGCAGTAACGGCCTTTATCTTAGCTTAGCTAAGGTTAAAATATAGGTAAGTTATCTTATATTAAGTCTTTTAAATATATTATAGAAGTATAAAAATTTAATAAATTTGAAACGAAAAGTTTATACAAAATAAATTAAAGAGTGCTCTATTTCTCTGTAGCTTATCTATCTTGCCAAAAAAAAAAAAAATAATAATAACTACGGGGAATACTCTATCAATAGGAAACAAAAAGAAACAATGATAATATATTAATGATCCTAAAAATCTGTTCATAATAATAAGACCACTTTTTATATAATTGGTAAATCCGAAAACTCGTGCACATATGTAAATATACAACTAAGACATCATATATATTATCATTTAAATTTATGGTATTCTTAAACCGATTTATATGCTAAAGGCTTATCATATAATCATTGGTAGGTATTATTTATGGTTACGAACTGCCAACTTTATCTTTGCCTATATAATGAGTTGTTCGTAACAATTAACACCAGTTGCTTATACTCGTACAAAGTATCACCGACTAACATGAAGGCCTTTATTGTATTCGTTTTATCCTTGGCTGTTGCCTCGGCTTACATCGTTCCCGATCAGTCGGCTTTCAATGAAGATGTGGACAATGATTTTGAGAAGCCTGCATTTATAGAGGACTTGCCAACATCACCAGTTCTATCCGGACGTATTACCAACGGCAACAAAGCTGCGACTGGACAATTTCCTTATCAAGTCGGTTTGTCGCTAGCACGCAGCACAGGCAATTATTGGTGCGGTGGTTCCCTCATCGGCTCCACTTGGGTTTTAACAGCAGCTCACTGCTCTAACCAGTAAGCGATGATATACGCTTTCAAATGCTTCAATCATTAAGTTTTCTTCTAAATTTAATTTTTATAGAGTTTTTCAGGCGATCGTCTATCTGGGCAGCACTGCACGTACTTCAGCTAAAGTCAAATACACCGTTACCTCCAGTTCTATCTACCAACACACCGGCTTTAACTCCAAAACTCTTGCCAATGACATAACATTGATTAAAATCCCTGCTGTGACTTACACTAGCGCAATTTCCGCCATTAAATTGCCTTCGATGTCTTCATCGTACGCCACCTACACTGGCAGCTATGCTATTGCTTCAGGCTGGGGCCGCATCAGTGACAGTAAATCCATGCATGCACTCATACATCATTATTTGTAGTTATTATACACTTTTTTCTGTTTCAGCATCTTCGACTTCTTCATCTTTGAATTACGCTCGTCTACCGATCATAGCAAATTCGATCTGTTCTGTTACTTATGGCACAAAAGTGATAACGGCCAACACCATCTGTGTATCTACACCTAGTGGTACGTCCACCTGCCAAGGTGATTCTGGTGGCCCATTGGCTTTGGAATCCGATGGTGTGCTTATCGGCGTTACTTCGTTCGTATCGAGCGCCGGTTGTGCTTCTGGCTCACCAGCTGGTTTCATTCGTGTTACTAGCTACCTCAATTGGATTAAGGAGAAAACTGGCATATCTTACTAATAAACGGAATTCCTAAAACTGAACATATTTCACTGAAAATATAAGTTAATGACTACTTACATTTCCTATTAAACATTTCATTTTTATCTATCAAACTAAGCATTATGCACAAAGTATCCGTTATTGATTCGAGAAATTGAAGTTTATCGAGATAAGCAGTTAGATGGAATGAAATTGCATTAAAACAGAGAACATACAGCAACGTGAAAGCTGTAGCTCGATCTAACATTCACATATAGGATAATACCTACTTAAAAATGTAAAAAAGTAGGCAACATTTCTAAAATTTGTTGGGGAATGTTTTCTATTAATACAACGACAACGACAATTTTAAAAACCGCAGCTATAGTCTCTTCATATGGGCGTTATAAAAAATGCAGCCGAAGTTAACGTGTTTAAAATTGTTTGCATATGGTAAAAAAGTATAAAAAAGTCCCTTATCTTGATTTTGATCCTTTAAAAGGTGTTCGATGTTTCCTTCTACTTAATACACCCTTCAGGGTGTAAAATGTGTATACCAATAAAACCTTTGGCATGTAATCCAAACCAGTGAGTGTCCTTTGGTTCCAAGAAAGAAAGATTGAAGACGTTCTTTCGAATTGTTCACACTCCAAGTTTCAGCACTTCCTCCAAACAAAATTGATTCGTATATGTATATTGCCATATATTTTTGATTTATCAGTTTTTTCCTTTTTCACCAGAGAACGTCTACTAATATCAGAGAATGTTAAAGAATTAATGAATCATTAATATTCTTTGATATGGATATTTCGTATATAGCATAGCAATTTAATGTCCTAATAATTTAAATATAACTGGAAACAGTTTTAAAGGTATTTGTGTAAGTTATATGGAATATTGCTCAATCGTCATCCTATAAGTATGCAATCTTAAATTTCTTAATTGAGTTTCCTTCACTTTAGCTTCATGATATGAGCGAAGAAAGGTTGATCAAATACGCATATAAGGCTTCCTTGGGATATAAAGATACTTCAGGTAGAAAAATTCAAATAAAAAAAAACTTGATACTGATATTTCTTTGGCTACATTTCCCAACTCTCTTTCTGGTTTGGCTTCCTTCACATCTTGGCTTAGCGTGGTATATGAAGATTTTCTACAAATGCGGAAAAACGTAAAATTGAATTTTTATTTAACTTCTTGAACTTCCTGTAGGAAATTTCTCTTCTTCGTTCGTAATATCTTGGGAGTGGTTCGTCAGTTTTTTTAATAAATAATTTCTGATAAATATATTCTACAGTGAAGTTAAAAAACAAACTGTAATATATCCATTCCTTTCTGAAAATGCAATTGGTTTTGGCTTTCATATTTGGCACCGCTTCAGCGGCTGCAATTCAAGAGTAGGAGCTACAACAAAAGAATGCCACTATAAATGGACGCCTAGTCGATGGCGGGATGGCTTTTACTTGTACCAAGCCAGTTCGACTTTGGATAAAATTAAGAAATGGTTACGGGTCGGCGATAACAGCGACTCATTCAGTCAGGTGGTACTGGTTAGAAATAGGGAAGAGGATTTTGTGTTTGGGAAACATTTTCAAAAATTATCTTATTAAGATTGCAGTGTTCAATATGTCACTGTCTACTTGCGCACTGTGTATCGAGTATTTTGGGGGTTATGGGAAGGTGTGGACTGATTTTATCAACTTTTGCCATTACACAAATATTCTTGAGAACGTTGTCTATGCATTTTCATGATGATATCTCACACACTGACACTGACCCTAGAACAAAATCTTATAAGCTTTAATCATTATATGTGGTATATAGGAACTACGGTAATTCGTTGACCGATTTCACACACTTGTAGCATTAAACTATAGTATATACAGAGTTAGAAATTCACTTAATTTTCCTAAAATATCTTACATATTGACCTATAAAGCAAACCTGAAGTTTGAATTTTTTTATATTAAAGGGGTAAACTTGACCCACTTGTTTCAGTTTAGGTACAACGACAATATTATTAGGAAGAGCGCTCTATGAATTTCATTAAAATACTGACTGATATATAAGGTACAAAAGCAATGGGAAGTTCAAAAATCTCTTTATTAGATACATGGGGCTAGAGGAAGGATATACCCAATTTTATCCTGTTCTGATACAAGGGCAGATTATTATTCGGAACAGATTTTCGCTGAATTTTAATATTAAAACTCCCAAATTGAGCAATACTTTCGGTGGAAAGTCAACCATTGGCACTGTGGTCCATATATTCGGCATCTGGGGGCTTGAAAAGTTATGGTTCGATTTCGAAAAGTTTTAGATGGAGATTTTGCAAGGTTTTAATTCGATAACGTCATTGGTACTTGATTTGTATTCTGTAAAGCGAAAGAATCAGATGGAATTTAAAGAGAAGTAGGCGGAGTTGTAGTCCAATTTCGCCCATTGTCACAATGTAGAAAATAGAAGGCGGTGCCAAGTCCATCGTACAATATTTTCACCGATCTCCATGAATCCTTTAACAGCTAACTTGGCTGTGAATTTGAATGCTTCTAACGGATTTACTTATTTTCAAACCGCAAATGCCGCTTCCTGCTGCGTTTCGCTTAATATTATTTATTACAATTTTTATCCTAATTTGGAGTTTGGTGATAGCACTTTATAGCGGTACGATGTAAGATATTTCGTGGACGTGGTCATGGATTCATTACGCAATATTACCCTCGTGTTGTCGTCCTGATCAATTAAGTATATGTATTATATCTATCTCTATCTCTAACTCTAGATCTACTTACTTCTATTACTTCTTTGTGTGACAAAAAATCGTCAAGTAAACAAAACTATTATACTCATTGCAACATGTTGCGAGAGTATACAAAAGAAACACAAAATACCAGCAAATTTATGAATGAAATCCGCTTGATTGGAATAATATGTACTCAGTAGTAAGTTTTAGCGTTGTAAATAACATTGCTCTTTATAGATTATTTTGATTTACCGTTTCTATTCAAATAAGATGTTATCGGCCACTTGTGCAAGTTAATCAGTTTAATCATTCAAACCTAATTTTAAGATTTATTGTAGCTTTTAAATTTGAGTAGTTAGCTCCATCTTATCGATAATCTTAAGAGGGCACATGCCATTTAATTACTAAAATTTATTCTGATAACATAAGACTTTTGGAAGGGCTGAATTCGGGTGCAGCGATATATTATATAGCAGAGTAAAACTATCGGATGTAATTTTAGTTTAAAGGAAAAGGAGTTTGGGAGAAAAGGCGTGTTGGTTGTATTTTCATTTAATTTACATTTGAGAAATATTTTTGTGGCGGTTGCTACAATTATAGTCCAATTTTTGAACTGATCCACATGCAACCATTATATGTGATTCTTGTCACTTAGTTTTTACTTAAATAAATTGTTTGGCAGTTGGAAAGGTAGGCTATTAAACTGCGTATGTACCTCCCTGCTGTTGTAACATATGGCACATTTAATCTTCATAGCTTCATAAATGCCTAAGTTATTGAAATTAATGTCCTTTAGAATAAAAATGTTTCGGTCTATCAAAAAAAAAAAGCTTTCGTCGAGGACTTGGCTGAGTCTCCAGTTTTAGGAGGCCGCATCACCAATGGTGATTACGCTTGGGATGGTTTGGTTCTCTATCAAGCTGGTTTACTTCTATCGAAGAATGCAGGCAATTACTGGTGTGGTGGCTCCTTGATTGGTCCGAACTGGGTTCTGACTGCTGCTCACTGCTGCTCACTGCACAGATGGGTAAGTTACAGTTTTTAATTAAAGAAATTAATTTTTCCAATTTCAAAATTTTTCCCTTTTATCTTTACAGCGCACACACCATCACTGTTTACTTGGGTAGCGTTGTACGTTCAAGTGGCAACCAATATACAACCACCATCCACTTCCAGGATATCCATCAGCATCCCAATTAGAAGATACTCTGGATAACGACGTCACTCTACTGTGGATCCACTCTGTTTCTTTCTCTGGCAACATTCAAGCCATCTGACTGCCATCTTTCAACCAGTGCAGCAATTATGAAGGTCAATGAGCTACCGCATCTGCCTGGGGTGGCACTTCGGGCAACAACCCAGACCAGTTGCAATACGTTAGTGTTCAGGTGATTTCTAATAGCGAATGCGCAAGCGTCTCCAACGTGTCAGCCGTCATTTGGACTGGATCCGTGGTGTCACCGGTATTGCATACTACTAAATTCGATGATGTATTGTGCATATATGTACTTTTGTGTTGTAATAATAATATTAATGAAATAATATTGATTGTCAAGATCTTTCTGCCTTCCAGAAAAGTGAAAATGAATAGTAATTGCCAACGCTCGAACCAAAATTGTGAAGAAGTTGTTTAGGCAATGCTCGCAAATATTGAGAAAACTGTTTTCAACAATACTGTAAACAAACGTGTGGGTATGGGTGCATTATAAGTGAGGGTTTTAGTCAAACCCATGTAGAAAATGCATATACTGAAGTATGTTTTTTTCTTTTCTCCGAAAAATTTTACTTTGTTGTCACATTTACACGCAATAGTTACAATTATTCGTTGTGAATATAAAAGTTCTTTGAAACAATTGTACGTACAAGTATATATTGATATAGCGGAATGTGTGTGATTGCAAATGTCTTGCTATACCGCTTCTTACATAAATATGCCATATTTGTTGTTGGTTTTCTAGTTTGTCGGGCACTTATGTCTGCCTTGTGCCCTTATGTGTCTAAGGTGTATTTGTTTTCCCTTCTTTTGGAGGGTAAATTGTTTTTATGTGCTAATATGTCAGTGTAGTGTTGTTGCCACCCATTCACACTGCCGTTTGTCTGCCTTTGTTTCATATCGGTATTAAAGTTAAGTGTATTTCTCTTTGCATGCACAGCACGTAAAATGATTTGATTTCAATTTTCCAGATTCAACTTGTGTCAAATGGGAATGATTTCGTATTTCCAACTCATTTCACTGAAGTACTCTTTATTTTTTGCTTAAACGAAATTTTCGGAATTTTTTCTCGGAATTTTATTATGTTTTGTTCGGTAATCTTAAGAACTTAGACTGAAAGCAAAAAATTTTAATGAATATTCAAGGCTATAAAAGT